CGCAGATATATTTTTAACAACTGTTAATATATATATATATACATATATATATATATATATTAAGATTATTTTTTAAATTATATTATATGACTTATCTTATGATAAATATTTATTTTTAATTTAAAAAATTCCATAACTTTTTAATTGTAAGAAATCTATCCACTTAATTTAATCATATTTAACATAATATAATATCTATTATTAATAATTAAAATAATTTTTAAAAAATTATTAAATTAAATATATATATATATATATAATTTTTTTGAAATTTATTTTAATTCAATAATGCTGATTCAGTGAACAAATTAAAAACTCACTGATTACGAGTATGTGGTTCTGTATCAACTTCTAAGGAAGCCAAAGGTCAAATACTGTAGCAGATGCTTTACATCATTCTTTTTAAGTTTTAAAATTTAGTGACACCATTTATGGTTCCACATTTAATTTTAAAATGAAAAATCTAGTCATTTCTTTAATATTTCTTTTAGAAAAAAAATCTAGTCATAGAGATATACGTTCTTTAATTAGTATTTTTTTTTTTTTTTACAAATTTAAATTTCAATGTTCTGGTCTCATAAAAAATCTTAAAATAATTTTGAGTTGTACTAAAGTCGTTAATTTGTTATAGATGTCCCTATCTTGTCTCTAATTTTTTTTTTTTTTTTTTGTAAGGAATATCAGTACTTGTTTTAATATCAAGTTAAATTTATACCAAATCTATTAAGTAATAGGTGAGATATATATCCTTATATAATAGAATTCATGTATTTAATAATAAAAAATATGAAAACATTATAATAAGTATCTTTATTAGAATAAAATATTGAATCAAATGGTCAATCAATTGTGACTATTATTAAGGAATTCTTATCAATTTAAACATCAAATGTTTTGCGCCTCCAATTACATAATCGTTTTAGGGGAGAAAAAGTTTGAAGAAAATTTAATGATAATCTTAGTTGTAACAAGTTTTTTACTTTCACAATAAAAATCTACTTTACAACTTACCCTCAAAAGTACATACCATTTTTATTTTCGAGATAAGCTGTGAAGATTAAGTATAATGAAATTAGAGTTATTGTAAAATAAGATTTAAAAAATATATTTTATTAAAAATATTAGATTTTGAACTATTCAAAATGTTTAATTTTATATTAAATAGACTAACTTATTTAAATAAATACAAATAATATAACGATAATAATATTATTTTATTATTGTTATATTAAATTTTTATTATAAGTTTTTAGATTATATACTTATTAATACATTTAGAAACTTGAATTGACTAACTTACACATAGGTTTATGTCTATTAATTTATTTAAAAATATACTTATAATTTTATTTAATAAATTGTATTACAAAATAATCACTTTAATAAACTATATGCTAAGAAAAAATTTAGAAAGAAATCAGGTTTGAACATAGCTTTATTTTGCCAATTCTCACCCCTACAATTAAGATGATCTAAATGTTATCCTACACTGCATTAAATATTTTACCCCTATTTCATCCTAAAACGAATGTGAAATTGTGGAAGCTTAAAAAATGGAGTGTTTTAATTAAAATCCCTTAATAAAAGTCGTGATGGATTTGCAATGCAGGGTTTTTTTTTTTTTTTTTTTGTCATTTTGAAAAATTATAGTAAAATGATATATTTTTAGATATACTTTTTATTATTTATTAAATAAAATACTTATGAATTCTATTATATGAGAATATTCAGATCTTGCCCTTTACTTAATAGGTATGGTGTGAATTTAATTTAATAATATAAAATGCATGTGTTGAAAAATCGGCGTGTTGCTAACTTATTCTTATCTTTTATCAGTAAATTTTGAAGAGCATGCATAACTATAACTTCTACTACAATGGCAGAATATTTCATCAATATCAATGAAACATTACGGAATTAGTATCTGCCGTTAGAAATTAAAAGCCAGCGATTAAATAAATACATTCTCACCATCAACTAATCCATAATATCCATGTATATTATATAAATATAATTAAGTTAAGGAGCACCCTTAATTTTTGAACCACAAAAAATATAACAAGAATTAAATCTGTCATGACTAAATTAAATTAATGCTGTTCAAAAGTATTCCACCATCTCTGTCTTTAACATGAATTGTTCTCAGTTGAAAGTTGAAATGGGGAGAAGATACTTGTTAATTACCATTAAAAAGTCTTCAACAGTAGAAGACAAGTCAAATGACATGTGATTCACAAATGTTGCATCCCTCTCCTTTTTGTTTATGTGGTAGACTTTAATTACTTACGGGGTTTGAAATTTGTGCATAACACTAAACTGACGTCAACGAGGAGATAGATGATCTATGTAGATTATATTTATACTAATATGTTAATTGTGTGAAATTAGCTAAATTAGTTAGTTAATTTCCATGCTCGATTATTTCTTTCTATCAAGCTCTATTTAAGGACTTGTTAATGATAAATAATTTAACTAACTTTAGTTTAACTAAATACTGCTTTATTTTAACTAAGTAAACGACATAATGTGAAAATTAACTAATTTTATAAACTTCGCATATCTTTACATATTAGTATATAATCTGCAGTCTACTGCTCAAATAAAATGTTATTGTTAAGATTCTTGATAAGATTATTTAACAAATGTATGGATAAAACAGCATCATCATGTTAAATTGAAAAAAAAATAAATTGTTTTACATAAGTAAATTAATCAGTGTGTAATAGGAAATTAGGTACTATCTTGGATTTTTTTTTCATTGATACAATCATTATTCTTGAAAACCTTTTGGCATCTTTCTTATTCCTGCTGCTTTTGTTCTATCTAATATATTTGGTTGCAAGAGTAAAATTGCAGTTGAAATAGGAACTCAACCTCAATTCAACCACTCAAAATATTTGGCTCACAAGGGTAATCAAAACAGTGATATACATGAGTAGTTCCTTTAGTGAACCCTCAGTAGCTTCCATGCCTTCATGTTTCTCAGTATTGAATCGATCATAACATGAAGTAATGGAAGCCTTTGAGGGTCACTAGAAGCATCCTCTATCCAAACTTGTTATGTTCTCAACCATGCACTTCCTTTAATTTATAATATGAATGTCTAGAGCTATAGGCTATATATATAGAGCGATTGATCAGACAAGTGTTAATGAAAATGAATCGAACCACTATTTACTAAAGAAACTATTGTGTTTCCAAGTTAAATTCTCTTACTTTCACGTTTATGGTTCTGATTCGCCAAATTTAGATACGATTACTTTTTTTATCATGAATAATAAATCTGTATGGCTCAAGAACCTTCTTTGTTCATAATTACAATTCAGCCCAGTTCCACCAAGGCATAGATAGTGCTTGTTTGCCTCTAGCAGAATGTTACCAAAATGGCAATATTGCATGAAATATGAATTATTCTTAGCTGCAGTTGACAATGAATAGCTGAGAGAATATATGTTTGACTATCATTAATATTATTTTGCAATTTGATGATTCGATTGGTTTCAGCGGAAAACTATTTTTCTACAAAGATATAAAGTATATATTAAAAAAAGTGACTTTATATAGAGAAGGAATATTATAAACAGAGAAATTCATCCTACAAAAAGAGTCAAAACAAATTACAATTAATTACAATATGCCACTGATACAGCAGTTCCATTTCGTGTAAGAATCATTCTAGCATTCTTCTTCTGTTCTTCTTTTATCCTTTTTCTCCGGTAAGTTGTAATGATTCCAAATTGCAAAAGAAATTCCCATCCCATGATCATGATTCCACTTCAATGAAGTTCTCGACATCTCTCTTTCACTCATCTCTTTTATGGATTTATAATATAGAATTCAAGTGTTTTTACCCTGCAATAGCTTGATTTTTTAGATGGTTAATTAGTGACATGGTATCAAAACCTCCGTCATTAACCAACTTTGATCACGAAGCAAGTCTAGTTTAGAAATATTGTTGCTTTTTAATATTCATGCTTTTTAACTAAAAATGTCATAAATTGGTATTTTGTTCTTTTGTCAATTGAACTTGTTTCTGTTCTTAAATAGCTGAAATTGCTTTTACAAAATCAACAATATTATTTATACATCTAAATTCATACATTTATCCCTTACACCTACTATTTTATGGGAAATAAAGCCAATCTCAAATCCCTTTTCTTTCTTACCCAAAAATTATAGGTATGAACAGGAGAGTGTGTGAGTAAAATACCCATTATATGATGGTTTAACCGTTTCTTAACTTACCCCCCCCCCTTTTAAATTTTTATTTTTATTATTGTTATTATTACTTTTGCATCACTAAACCCCTTAAAATTTGGTTAAAATTGAAAAATGTGACTAACTCCATTAGAACAAACAAATGGTTAAGGCATGTGACTGTTGACAATGCTTGCTAGAGGGAATGTCTTTATTTTCTTAGCCAGAACAACGCATCACACCGTTTCCTAAACTCAAGCATCGATGTAGCTTTCTTTTATTTATTTAATTTTTGGTCAATCATCGCTGTAGCTTCAACCATCAACCAAGCCTTAATCCTTTTTGTTCCTTAAATTTTCATCCAAAACCACTTAAAGCCCAGTTCAGGATACCCCGTATTATATATTACTGCCGCAAGGTGCAGCCCACAATTCACTGGACTGTTTTTTATTCGAATCTATCTACTTAACACCAATCTATCTATTTGTTTAAACGTATGAAAATTATGCTGATCCCAAAAAACAAGTACGTGAAAACCATATAAGAATAATCAAGTTTAATAGTTAGCAATCGAGTGACAACTTATATTTTATCTTTTACTCTTGACCATCTAAATAAAATCTAATAATCGATATTATAATAAAATGTATTTAAATTAACCTTAACTATAAATTTACACTGAAGCATTTACCATTAAAATTTACAAAAATTAATTTTGCTAACACCAAAACAAGGACTTATACATTTAAAACGAGATAGCTGCGTTTACGGCAATACGTTTTGCCTTCAACAAACTGTTACATGTGAATATTTACAACACACGTTAACAATTAACACATAATACATTACACTTTCTAAGAAACTGGAAGTATTCACGAGTAGAGGGGAAATGCAAAGATATACAACAATGACCAAGTTTTTCCACATTAAGTGAGGTAACTACTACATAGATTAAACGATGTCAAACATCTCATTATAACTCATATCTATAGCCAAATCACTGACTTCTAAACATTTCTTAATAATTTTACACATAATTTTCGGTCTCTCGCTACCTCTAGCACTCCTAATTATTATCAATTGAATTCCTGTCCACCAAGGTACCAATTTTAGCTTTAGGCATGGCTAGATTAATTACATGTTGAATGAAGGCCGCGGTTTCGGTGGCATATAATAAGAATCACCACAGTCAATTGGAGTTTGTAAAAGTGGATTACATCTGTCAAATATTATACGGCCCCCTCGGCCAATTCTGCCACTGAATTTATATGAATGTGTTGACACCCCATTTTCTGTAAAAGAATCTGACGGTGGAAGAATGCCTGCCATGGCCAACTTCTCTGGAAGTAACGGTTTTGTAAACAACAAAACTGGCTCCAGAGGATCCTGCATATTCCAAATGCAATAACGCAACCATATTGAATAGGTAATAATGATAAATGTTAAATTTACAGAAAGCAACTGATACAAGAGAAAATACAGTACACAAAAGAACGAAAGGAGAGGAGGAAAATATTAAAAAGGGAGAACCAATTAGTAAATTACCAATTTATGAGGCCACCCATGTGGGATATATCGCCTCTTGAATTCTTGCTTTGTGAACATTGCAGGCAGGTTAGTATCATAGGAAGGTAGATTCTGTACTGCAGAAGGCCGTGTATGAGAACGGATAGTCATGATATCTTCTGAATCAAAAAATTCCTCCTCGGTGGACACAATCTTTGAAGAGAAGGGAGTGAATCCAGGAAGTGCTAAGCTGTCTTCCAAAAATTCAGTTTCATGCTGAAATAGAGAACCATATATCAGTCCACAAGTTCAAGCAGACTACTCCTTATACATTTTCCATGTCCAAGTAAATTATAATTCGACATACTAATATATGCACAAGCTACAACAAAGTTCCTAGAGAGGATAAGATTGATCTGGCTAAAGTGCATAAAATGATTTATTTTCAAGCAAAAAAAATTCCCCTCCAGCACCCCACCGTACTTTTAGACTAGGGGCCAAATGTTAAAACTATAATTCAGCAAAAGTATAATATATATGAAGCGCTTGCATTGTATTGGAATGGTGACTTGTGACTTCATTAGCATTTTCCATAATTCAGTGATGAGTCTTATCCTTTTAAAAAATACTCCATTAAAAAGTGAAAATAAAAAAAATAAAAAAAAAAGTTTACCAAATACACTAAAGGTCATTTTCAGCATCTGAAATCTAATCAAAGCAGCCTATGCTTAGAGACACAATATAACAAGCAAGCCTTTTATTCAGAATTTCCCTCTAAAATATTATCTTCTCCATTTAGTAACTTGCCTTAAATCTCCCCCCGCCCCCTCCCCTCTAAATTTAACATCTAGTTTGATTATCATTAGCGAAAATTACTTTCAATTACTATCAAATTTAAAAAAAAAATGGGTATGGGAGTGCCCTAAACTTATATTATAGGTGTTTAGATATTAAAAAATTTTGCTTTCTAATAATTTTACAAAGTATTGTAGTAAAGGCTTGTAATCTACCCCACACACCAGGAAAAAAAAAAGCTGGTGTAAACCTGCTTGGGCATAGCTGGCTTAAATATACATCTTTTATTGAGAAAAAGAAGAAAGCAAGCCAGAAAAATAATACAAGTACCTTGTACTTCATTTGCATCCGTTGTAGTGTAACTTCACTGTCCATCACTTTTCGTTTTTTCTCCTCCCGCTAGTAATGATCAGATACCAAAAAAATAAGTAGAAAGCAAAAGGATAAACAATATAAAACAGTAGAAGTCTCAACAAAAAAATCAAAGCCACCTTGATCAAAGCTTGCAACAAGCTTTTTGCTTGTTCAAGGTTGCGCCTAACCTGTTCACAGAGAAAGATTAAAATAAATTCTGTACAGCATATTGGGGGGGGGGGGAGAGATCTAATTTGAAAGGAAGAAAACAATTTGAATAGCCACTTTTCTCACTTGAGAGTAAGTTTATCCCAAATTTCCCACACACAAGAATGGCATTTTAAGAAAATGGGAAAGTGAAGCAATGTTAATTGCTAGATAAAAACAATGTAAATACAATACTAGGCTTTTAACAGAGAAAAGGGTTCAAGCTCATTTTACTGACTTCAACCCAAGAACCATAACCAATTTAAAGGAGGCTAACCTGGCGAAGCTTTTCAAATGATTGCACATTGTTTTCTCTCCTTTGCATCTGGACAGAAAATAAGCATTCACTCATTTCCATAATTACGAACTAATTTCGACAAATGAATGCCTTTGAGGAAAAAGCATTTACTCAAAATTGAGGTACAATGAAAGCTAAGTTTTCAACCTACCCTTCTCGTGTGAAGCCTGTGGGCCTTTTCCCTTGGCCGAAAGACATTATATGGGTTGGTATCGTTAGCAGGTGGAGGTGGCTGAACAAAAAATGCAATTAATATTGTCAAGTAACTGTAGCTACCACAGAAAATTTTGAATACAAAATGGATCCAAGAATGAATAAAACTTGCTTATTAGAAGGAAAATTAAGTAAAAAATAGTTGCATTCAAAGAACTGTAAAATATGTCACCAGTCATCACTGGCATGTCTTAAAAATGCCTAAATAACCAGAAAAGGACAAGGTATAAGAAATTCAATTATAATCCCTGATAAAAAATTGATGTAAAGGCTGGTTAAGCAGACAGAGGAAAAGCTTAAAAGAAAAATTATAAATTGCTTAAATTCTACAAAGATATTGTAGCTGAATAGACTAAAAGAATTCAGAAATCACAAATCCAATATATCAGTGACAAAATATTAATGAGCTGAAAACCAACCTGCAAACGTCGCAAAATTGGCTTTTGCCACCTTTCTCGCTGCACCCAAAATAAATATGGTAAACAAGAAAAGATAGTCTCAAAATTATAGGAATTTAGATATAGTAGGAGGAAAAAGTAGATAAAAGAGATTGAATACGCTGAGATTTATATTGACTCGTGATAATACAAGGGTTACAATGGGATGCAAAATACATAGCAATAACCCTTATTTATAGAGATAGATCATAATCCTAACTAAATAAGAATGCAAATCATAAGACAATAAGGAAACATGGAAACCAAGGAAATAGGAAAACTAATCCTAAGAGATGACAATAGATATTCTAAAATATTCTTAAGATATAATGTTGATATTATGAGATAATTTTCATACATTATAACATAGATAACATAAGGCATCAACATTTTTATGAATACTGAAAGTAAGTGCAAGAAATCATTATGTATCATTACTTATTGTAAGAGCAAACATAAATGAGAGAAAGAGAATCCAAAATTAAAAGTATCTCCAAGTTCTTAGTATATTAGTAACATGTAAAGCATATTCAAGCAGCCTGAAATACATCCCTCCATATTCAAGCACTCCACATTCAGTCGTGAAGGTGGGGTATCACAAACCCTGTTCAGTACAATTTCCAGTAATAGCCTGAGGCTCATAAGTGATTGGAAGTCATTCAAAAAGTTAACTCGAAGAACAAAAGGAAGCTTATTCCTGATAGCCTGAGGCTCAAGCCATACCTTCTCTTTCCAGTAATCATATCCAGGCTGGATAACTGAATATTTGATCGACTGGGCTTGTAGGGCCTAACATTTAAAGAAAAGAACTTTTATAATCCCAACAATAAACATACATTACAAGCATCATATGGCAAAAAAAATAAAAATTAATTGCAGAATAATTATATTAAATGCATTCTTAAATTTGAAAGATGCTCCAAGTTCAACAGTATCAAGAATTTCAATAAATATTAGCCTAAATAAGGAAATCTTTGTGGAAAACAATAATTCCTTGATATCATCAGACGGTTTAGAAGCAATAGCTATATAGAATAACCATATCCAACCAACATATAATTCATGATGAAGGGTGTAAAATAAACAAATAAAATATTCAACTTTTTTACCCATCAAGAACAGTATGAACAGTTTCATGAATTAATATTTCATCATAGAAAATGAAATTTCATAAAACAGAAAAGCAAGAAGAAAGTATACACAGCATAGGCAACAAAATGCTGTTCTCTTGAAACAAACATACGCAAAATGACAAAAAAGAAAGGTAATAGAGAAAATAAAAAAGTAGCAGGGATGCCATCTGCCCAACTCTACAAGTCATAAGGAAACACCATTAATAATGCATATTTTCACTACAACCAAGTGCATAAAATGCAGACTGCCACAGATTTCTGGGCCCATTGTTGCCAAAAACAATATACAGAAGCATATAACAGCTGTCAGTAAGCAAATAGTATCAGAAACATTAAAAAACTACAGAATCTAACAAGTATCACCTCAATGGCAGCATCAAGACGTAGCAGCACAGGAATTGGTGAACCAAGAGTAGGTGTTAAAACTCCAGCTCTTTCACGGGCCTTATGATCCAATACCTCCAACTTGAAAATAAGACTCTCAAACCTATTTACCAGACATTAAATGAAAACCAGAGGAACAACACAACATCAAATGTAATACACATTTGTATTTATATTACAGAATGATTTAAAAAGATTAGTGGCAAACAGTTAAAAACTCGGTATATTAGAAGACTGGCTGAATTTGAATAGTTTTGGAGCCCTAGAAGCTCCAACAGGAAGTCCTGCACAGGGACTACCATTATGAGAACTATTATGCCTTTAAATCATCTATTCTTTTGGCCAGTCAGAATAAAACTGAAGCTCTCTATGGATCATGAACTATTAACCAACTTAAGCGTCACAAAGCAGTAGTTGAAGTGTAGCTGTGATTTTCTTTTAAAATGACTCTTTTGTATCAAAATATTTCATCCCCAACATGGAAAACTTATCCAGATGCAAGGCAACAGATTAACAGATCCAAACTTAAGTCATCTGAAAATGATGCCTGCTACGAAATTCAAGTATTATGACTAGCTGAACATTTATGGGGAACCATCAATGGGTTACGCCTTCAGAACTTAAACTTTATTTTCTTGACTATAAATGTATCTCCTTTCATTGGGAAAACAGAGACAATTATATCTAGTTACCTATGTTATACCTTTCAGAAACTGCACAAATTGATTTTAAGAGGGAGCAGCCACAACAGCAGGTAGCAATTGAATTTTTAAAGACATTTGAAAAACCAGGTGGTGGTTTAACTAATTAGCAGTTTAGCACTTCAACCAATCTCAAGCACCTGAATTGGGGCAAGCTTCCTGGACCTGTAACATGGACCCACAGGAAACCTGTCGCTCTTCAGATGCAGCAAAATCACAGGACACTCTTCACAATATTAAAATTAGAATTTTTGCAAGGATAAATAAAGAAAAAAAAATTCATGGATTAGTTGAGGATTTAGTGAGAAACCTAGATCAAATGGATACTAGTCCAACTAGATCTAGTAGAGTGAACAAAGAAAATTTTTGGAGGGAACTGTCAAACAAGACCATCTTCAATAAGGTTTTATGTATAATAGATAAAGCTCAATGGCATTAATTTATCCATATAGGTGATCCCATCTAGGGAGATAAAACTTGATTATTGTTGTAGAAACTGGAGCACATTTGGAATAAAAATCTAGGGTGGGTTCAATGAATAATTTTCTTTTTACCATATGGTTATAAACTTGTAGTTTTGAATTATCAACTACTTGTTAAGCAGGAAAACTTATATGAACCTTTCAAGTGATGACTTGAGCCTCTATAAAATTTTAGCTATTTGTTCTCAAGGAGTGGCCAAAAACTTTTCTGAAAAAAAAAATAAAAATTATGCCTAAGATTTTAATTACTTGATTGACCTAACACAGTTGAGCTCAATCAAAGCTTTCATCTTCACCATCTGAGCAAAGGTTGGTGCAGATTATTGTGCAGAGCACGAAGTACAGAATAACAGAAGCTAAAACTAACCACAGTAGCATATTATAACAGTTCTGTCATGATCTAAACAGTATGCAAGATTCTTTGTATCACAGAATCCCAACTCAAAATCCAAAATCTCGTTATTAATTTATACACCATAACAGCAGATTCAGTGTGACAGAAATGATAGTAAATTAAACAATTAAATTAAGCCATTGTCAACAGTACCAACTGGACTTCAAGCAATCTGAAATCATACTCTTGGCAAGAGAAATAAATAAAACAATAAAAGCAAAATAGAATGATCGATGAAACCTATTAAAAAGTAACCAGACCAGAATCTACCAAGTACCAAACAAAAATTAATTTATTAACTGAAATCAATGAATCCATAATTCAGTCTAAAAATTTACATTTCAGGTGTCAGAATGTTCCTTTCTTTGTTAAACTCTAAAAGCCAATCTTCGTCTTCATTGTCCAAGTCATACTCAACAAACTCTCCAATCTCTGTCCGAGCTGCAACAATTGAAAGAATTTCCAAGAGTTAGGGTTTTCAAACAACCCTCCAAAATTACCCTAATTGAAAAATCTATGTTGTGGCACTGGCAGCACCTCCTCTAGCCCGCAAGTACGAATTTGGTTGAGAGAAAGTGCAAGAATAATCCCTTTCATATGTATCCACAACAACAAACTGAGGTATAGGTATTTCAGAAGCCCCTTTCTTGTTGGGAGTGTTGGGAACTGGATGTACCTAAGAAAAATAAATACAAGTTAATATTAAAAATCCATACTCAGGAAGCTTTGTTATTTAATGAAAGCGGTACATATCATGAGCTTTTTAGACTGCAGGCCACAAGTGAAACACCCAAACAAATTAACTGGTTTCTTTTCTCCTATCATTCTTTGATAGGGGACCAGAGAAATCCATCATAATTTTTTTAACATATAAAATTTCAACTGTCAAAACTTTCACAAATATTTTATTATGACGCAATAATTCTTAAATAACAGATTGTACAGGTTAACATCATCAACATTTTCATTTTGTAAACAGAAAGTACTTGTGAGTTAATAAACTAGAGTACAACAGTGAAGCTCCCAAAGCTAACTTCAATCCAATGTATAAGTTAGAACTTAGAAGACAGATACAGGTAATTCAAAAACTTCCAGACTTAATACAACCCAAAATGGTAGCTGACATACACCAAAAGTAAACCGATTAACCGAAAACAGTTGCAATTAAACATCACCAGGAAGCAAGAAAGTAAAACCCTTTTAAGGCAAAGTGCCCCGTACCTCATTATCAACCTCAGGAGCTACACGTAACAACTGCGAATTTCGGGTAGAAGTAGGAGTCTCATCATCATCGAAGTCCTTGATAGACTTGACAATGGGGAGCTTCTTGTGAATGTCAAGTGGCCGTGGCCTAAAAGAAAGCCTAGTCATTTTCTGCTCATCAGTTTATCTTCACTTGTTCAGTTTCTATGCCACCCCTTTTTCTGCCCCTGCGTTTCAAACCAAAACTGACAAAGTCTTAATCACACTAGCAACCAAAATCACACACACATGCAAAGATTGAAAAGCTGCCTGCATCCTCTAGCAACACAGTTACTCAACCAACATAAATTACACGAAACACCGTATTAATAACAAATCTGCACTGTATCTGCAAATGGACATTTGCATATTCAGCAAAATCATTCGAAAAAGCCAGTGGAATTCATAAAAAGAAATTGAATTTTTTGGTCGGAAACAGCAAGAGGTGAAACGGCTTGTTCAAATTCATCCTTCACACACAACCACGTGTTGAACATGAAAATGTACCAGACGCACACGACAAACAGTGAGAAGAAAAAGAAAACCTCCAAATTGATTGATAGAAGAAGCACAACTTCGATTGCACTCACAGGTAGCCGCGGACGATTGCGTCAATCTGAGTGGTTCCTCACTCCCAGAGTTTTCAGTTGAAGAAAAACCCTAAATTTCTCTCTCCCTCTCTGTTTCTCTCTATGTTATCCAAAGCTTCAGAGTTGTGTTTTCAGTGTGTCCAAGCCGACCGAGTCGAACCGATCCGGTTCAGCAACGAGTCATCCCGAGCCGGAGCAATGTCTAGACTCAATCCCCTAAAGCCACGATGATGGGCCTGCAGCCGCCCGATTCATCACAACAATTGAATCTCAATCGTCAGATCAACATGCGGCAAATAAAGCACAAAACTTAAGTGATGGGTTTTGTGGTGTTCGTGTATTATTTTTTTTATAAATTACCTTTTTTCATTAACTATTTTTTAAAAAATTACTAAAACAAAGTAATATTTATTAAATGTACAAGTATATTTAAATTAACATGATTTATTTTTTCTATAACACTCAATGTGATTTTAATCTTAATCAGTCATTTTCAAATAAATTTTGTTCTGAAAAAACGATATACACCAATGAAAGATCCTGTTACGTATGAAACTTGACTAATCATATATTTTTAAATTGAGAATAGTATGTACTTGGAAGCAAACAAAAAGTTGTTATAATATCATATTATATTATTCAATGGTATTAGACATTTCTTGATTACTGATTTACTTTATTATTATCGATACAGACAAAATATAGAATATTTAGGCAAAATTTGCTATTACAAAGTATATTTTAAAAATGTCACATATTATAAAATATCTATATTAAAAAAATACAACTAAAGATTCATTCCGTTTGCATGTCTAATATCATCTCAAAGTATTTGGATTGTTTAAAATAAATTTTTTATATTTTTAAATGGAAAAAAAAATTTAAAAATTTTATGACAAAACTTTAACAATTACTTAAAAAAATGGTATGAAACATATATTTAAAGTCGTATATTTGCGTAATTATTATTCATTATTTGCAATTAACGATTGGATCTCTAACTGTCTTACAGGTAAAGAATAACTTCAACAATGATTACAATAATGGGTGACGAGTGTGTTAATTATGATAAATTATTGTGAAATATTAACTAATTAATCATATTTAGCAAAAAAAAAACTAATTAATCATATAAATAATAAATTAACAATTAGATAACCAAGTTTATGAAGGATTTTGAGAGTACAAGGTAGGGTAGGGTGGTTTTGTCGGCGTAAGATCGGTTGGTGGGACCCAGATGATGGCGATAGTTAGTTATGTTACGTTACAGACACACCGCACCGACCTATGGAACGGCGTCGTACCGGGGTTACCTGAGGGCTTTTTTGTCATTTTGATTGGTGATTGCGATTCCCGTGCCCTCATCATAAAAGCATTTGCTTGCTTCCTCGTTAAAAAAGCCCTTCGTTCTTTCCCCTACGAAACCTTTTCAGACATAATGTAAATTACTTTTATATGTACATTTTTTTTTATATTTTAATTTCTCTTTTGATTGAATTTTAAAAAAATTCGTTATATCAGTTTTATTTTCAGATAAAAAATCAAGAATCATTTGTAAGTGTAAAAATTTTAATACTAATTTTTACTCGTGATGTATGATTGTTAACTTGTTATTAATTTTTTTTTAAAAATTACGTAGGATAGTGAATATTTGTGTCACTAAAAGTTAAAATTATTGGATTTAAAGAATTAAAATAAAAAAATTAAAATTTTTTATATAATTAAGCTTTTAAGTAAAATATTGATTAAAAGTTGATGATCGAAAAAGATGATTAAAAGTACGTGAAACTGATTCTGAATTAAATTTAAAAATGAGTGCATAATAATTACCCGGGATTTGCATTCCAAAGACAGAAGGAGACCTTAATTGTTAAAGTAAATTATTACTTAAAGACGTAATTAATCTCCCTATTGACCACACTATAAATACGTCAACACGAATCATCTTAACGGATCAAGTCAACCGTCAAAAATCAGAAAAATTCAAAAGAAAAGAAGAAAAAGTAAGAAACATTGGAAAGAAAAGAAGGTTCATGAATTGTCTTGATCATGTTAACGCTTGTGAGCATGAAATTTCGTGTTTTTAGACACATTTGAAGAAGAAAGAAAGGTTGAAGAAGAAGAAGAAGAAGAAGAATAAGATAAGATCACACGCATAGACATCGAAGAAAAAAAGAAGAAAGCAATTGCATCAGAAAAAGACACGCCCCACCCCTTCACTTCCCTTCGCTTGCGCCTTCTTTCTCTCTCTAACTTCCGTCGCTTTCTCTCTCTCTCTCTCTCTCTCTCTCTCTCTAAACCCACGAAACTTTCCCTCTCTTGGCGAGGCTTCAAATACGACCCACAGAAGCAATGCCTCGACCTCAATTCCAATTCTCTTTCTTTTTCTGACCACTTACTCACTCACTCTCTCGCCATCGCCATAACCATGGAGGAGTTCAAGTTGCAGCATCGTCATAATCTTCACAGGCTCCATTGCTCTGTGAAGAACTACGATTGGGGTCTTCCTGGTCGACTTTCAGAGGTTGCGAGACTCCACGCGCTCAATTCTGCGTCGCAATTCGATCCCGAGAAGCCTTATGCGGAGCTTTGGATGGGTACCCATGATTCAGGGCCATCGTTTTTGGTCTCCAATGGGGTCACTCTTAAGGCTTGGATTTCTGAAAACCCTGATGTGCTTGGTGACAAGGTTCTCCAGAAGTGGGGTTCTGATCTTCCTTTCTTGTTTAAGGTGTGTTGATGGATTATGGATCACCCCTTTGTGTTTTTGTGTTAATGGGTGTCTTCGGTTTATTACAAGATCGATTTTTTATTTTTTATTTTTTTATTTTTGCATTGCATGTGTTATTAGGTGCTCTCTGTGGCGAAGGCTTTGTCTATACAGGCTCACCCTGATAAGGAGTTGGCTAGGACTCTGCATAAATTGCAGCCTGTTATGTATAAGGATGGGAATCACAAACCTGAGATGGCTCTTGCAATGACAGATTTTGAGGCTCTCTGTGGATTCATCACTGTTAAAGTACGGGATTTTGGGCTTTTTAATTGTTTTTTTTTTTTTTTATTTTAGTTCTTCCGGTGTTTATGAGTTTTATAAGATTAATTGGTTTGGTTTTTCATTGACTGTGTGTCCAGAACAATTAATTTTTTATGTCCGGAGAACTGTTTGTGTGTATTTTGCAATTTAAAATTGATGTTCTGAGTTTGAGCCTTATTATATATCAGAAAATTGGATAGGGTTGTCTTGAATTGAATTATCTGTCTTCAATATTGTTGTCGTAACTACGGTGGAATCTTTTTATGAATTCATTGATTGTTTGATTTGTTAAAAGTCGCTTTTTTAAAAGTAAAATATTCATTATTCACGTTCTTTGAGTGATTGGATATGAACTGCCCACCTGTTAGGTATAATTCCTTATGATGTGACTGAATTATCTGTTTTCTTCTCGCTTTACTTTACTTTCGTTAATATGTCAATCACATATCCACTAGTTCATAGGGTTCTTTCTGATGCAATGAAACTTGTGATAGCCGACCAAACAATAAATAAAGAGCAACAAGTGAAAAAAATCAAATGATAACCGTTTGAGTTAATAAACATGGATGTGTTGGTTACGGAAGTTTGATACTTTGATATTATCGATCTGTTAGTATGGGATTTTGATGTGTCTTTGTTTTCTGTCCACCTGTACATCTGGCTCTGCAGTATGTGGATTTACTCATCGGTGTAATTGTGAGCAACTTGGATATATGGATTTATGGAACCCTTTTAATCAATTCATAAGCTCATATAATGATCTTGCCATAGCATATTTCTTTAATTCTCTCAGATGGGAATTAAATCTGCATTTTGTCAATTCCCACCTTAAATAATTAAAAAGTCTATTTGTTCAATCAAGTAAGATGGATAATATATTGCATTTACTAAGCTGCCGTTGACTGCTTGAAAACCAAAATCTTACGGGTTTGTGACATGAATCATTATGTATTTTAACCAAAAAATTCTCCTGTTTTGTTGTGCGATATAGATCAGTCAGTTCCTTTCATACCTTTTACTTTTCCCCCCTTCGTTCTGTCTTTCTAAGGGTTCAAGGTTGCTTATGGTGGATGCCTAGACATGTTTTATTGGTTTATTTAATGCATCATTGTAATTGTATTCACTTTGAACAAATGAGCAATCTGCCGTCTTTCTGTTTAGGAGCTTAAGGCTGTGCTTCATGATGTTCCTGAAATTGTGGAACTGGTTGGTGTTGAAAATGCAAACCTGGTCTTACAAACCAGTGATCAAGATAGTGAAGAGAAGGTAAAAGCTGTTTTGCAGGCTGTGTTCACCCACCTCATGTCCGCTAGTAGAGAGAGAGTAACTGATGCAGTAAACCAATTGAAAAGTCGTCTGCTTAAGGAAAGTGAGGTTAGTTGATTACTTGCTCTATTTTGTTTTAGGTTAGGAGTTTATCTAATGAGTATGGACTAACCTATTTTTTGTGGTTTTATTCCTTTTGTCCCATAACATTATTTAGTATTATATACATACATACATATATATAGTATGTATGTATGTATGTATGTATGTTGTCAAAGTGACAGGAAAATTATTCAGAGATGAATGACATGTTTTTTTAAAGGATCAGAAATATGTGGTGTTAATAGTCTGTTCTTAGGGTCACATAATATTGATGGTCAAGAGTGCTGGATACTACTTATTCTTCAATCATTTGTGTGTTGCCAGCATTATTAACTTATGCCATGATATTCTCATTTTGCATCAGGTGAGGCAGTTGACCGATAAAGAGCAGCTGGTGCTGCGGCTGGAAAAGCAATACCCATCTGACATTGGTGTCATAGCAGCCTTCTTTCTTAACCATGTAAAACTCAATCCTGGTGAAGCTTTGTTCCTAGGGGCAAATGAACCACATGCATATTTATCTGGGGAGTGTGTTGAATGCATGGCAACTTCTGACAATGTTGTACGAGCTGGCCTAACTCCCAAACACAGAGACGTCCAGACCCTTTGTTCCATGCTCACATACAAGCAGGTATATGATACATCATGGTTGTTACTGCATCTTTTCACTTCTCAATTTTCTTTCATTATCCAATTTTATCTTTCTGTGGATTGGTCCGTATTAGTGCCTTCTGTTCTTGCATCTTTGGACTTCATCGTGTCACATGGATTGCATGGTTGGTGATTTGTTTTGGCAATATTGACTCAATTGTGGGCATCTACATGCATTCTAGTAGGCATGCATATATATATATATCCGACGACTGAATGCGTCTTGTTCTTGAATGCTGATCCCGTATTTTTAGTTGTCTTAACTTTTTGAGGAAAGATGTAGATTTGAAATGGCAACTCAATAGATGGCATGAATACATAAGATTTGCTTGATGTCAATGTTTTCTGTTTTCTTACAGGGTTCTCCTGAGATCTTGAGAGGAGTTCCTCTTAATCCATATGTAAATAAATATACCCCACCATTTGAGGAATTTGAGATTGATAGCTGTATTCTTCCTCAAGGGGAAACAGTGGTGTTCCCAGCTGTCCCAGGCCCTTCCATCTTTTTGGTCACAGTAGGGAAAGGAACAATGAACACAGGATCACCCCAAGAACATATAGTCACTGAAGGTGATATTCTTTTTGCAGCTGCTTACAGTGAGATTAGTGTTACTAGTTCATCCGAGTTGCATCTGTACAGAACAGGAGTTAATAGCAAATTTTTTCAGGCTTCCTAAGCTTCAACAGCACTTTTTTGTTTTTCACCATATGGTTTTGAGAGTCAAATAATGCGTTCATGTGTCATAGCAGCAGTATAGTGTACATGCAAGAGTAGTAAGATCACGTAGTATATTGAGTCGGAAAAATCATTTTAGAGAGGTGGGTTGTCATTCGTTAATAACTTTATTATTCATAATAATGTTGGTTAAAGGCCTTTTCGGATGTGTTCCTCCTATTTATCAATTTATATCAATAAATGAAGTGCCTACAAATATTTTTTGTGTTCTTGCTTTGAATTTTGTTGCACTGGTCGAGGGACATTAAAAATTATAAATGAGAACATATATAATGAAGCTTGACGATCTATATTTATACAACTCATGCCTAACTCATTCAAACTGGATATGTTTGGATATCATGTTAAATCTTATAAAGAGTATTCTGACTCTATTATGGAACATTTTAATATCATTCCTACGATCATATTTTAAAATAAGGGAAATAATTATTAAATGCAATATCATGTAAAAGAAAGGGAACCCTTTCTTTAGTTCACTTGAGCAAGTGTTGCAAGTTGCAACTAACAAACTAGAGTAAGAATTCAAATCAAGACTTCAGAAATAATTAACAAGTTAGTCATTGTCAGAGTAATTACTAGTTACCAACTTCATAATTAACTTCATGCATACTGTTCTGGAGTTTGTTTTCTACAACTGATACCAAGCTAGTTTTTCTTAAGGGAACAATGACTTATGTTTGTTCTGTGAACTGGCACATACAAAAGTAAGTTCTACCTAACGTCACACTCAGTTTTGAAGACCTACTCCCAGTGTTCATTGAGAAGTGATATTAACAACATTTAGCAGGGCCAACCATCATCAAGCTTTATTTTTATGGCATTAGAAAATCCTATGTTGAAGAAGTTATATAAAATTATGAATCAATTAAGCAATTTTAACAAACAATTTGGTCACTGGCTTTAGTGAAAAGCCTTAAAAAAAGTTGAAGACTAAACTTTCCAAAAAAGCGCGCGCGCGCACATATATATATATATATATATATATTGTTTTCAACTGGCATCTCGATGGAACCTCCAGAAATTACACCCATAAAATTGGTATATTACAGTGAGGACAAATACTGGATACCTCACGACAATGATTTTATGACTAGAGTATAATTATATTAGTGCTCATTACGTCTTTGCTCTCGTAATGTTATCTATTTTCATATGTTGGCTTTTTTCCCTTTATTTTGTATAATTATATAGAGGGCTCCCAAAATATTATAATAGATCTCATTCATAAGTTAGTCTTTTTTTTAATAATTTTCAAGTAATAATTAAGAATATTTGAAATAACGTGTTAAAAAGTGTGATATATCTTAGTAACTACGAAGTTTTTTTAAATAAAAAAAATTCAATTGATGTTTCAAACCAACGGATACTTGAAAAGGCAAAGTACATTTGGGTGCTCATAGAAGTGCAAATATACAGCTCAATCACATTTCTACTTGGACCTATCTTTATCACCTCAGCTTGTAGCTTGAAAGGTTGAAGACCTTCTACATTAATTGTAGCGATTTGAAGCAGCACAAATATGTTATGTACTCCTAGCAAAATGCAAAAATGAAACAAAGATTTCCTCTGCTATTTCGTGCCTCTTACATCTCTAAATCATTTAGCCATGAAAGAATAATTTTTGCACCTTTCTCCCATGAAACGTCCAGCATCATGTCATGGGCAGTTTCTTCAACACATACTGGTGACACATCATAAAACTTGGCTGTTTCTTTCAGTCCTTCTGCATCCTATAACCAACAAAGGGGGAAAACCATCCCATGAAAAAAAGTGTGTACAAACAAAACTCAATCAATGTTGCAGAAGTATTGATAGAAAAAATAAGTGGGCAGTAATAATTCAATGAATTAGATAATATCATTGGAAGAGAAAAAGCACTTAGATACTTAAAAGACCAATTTATAGAGATAAAATTACCACAATGAAGTCATCCTTTGCACCCAACACAAGAATTTCAAGAGGGCAATGTGGCACTGAAGGAACTGGAAGTGATGCATTAAGCTTTCTCAAATCAAACAATGGCAGCCTCGAACTTTCTTTCATTAGCTCTTGATATCTGAAATGAGAACAAACCAAAAAGGCTTTGGGACTTGAATAAGCTTGAAAACCAACAAAAAAAGTTGAGGATAAAAAGATGTGATAATCACCATCTCATGACCCCAAAACCTTCCAATTTGGTCCCCGTGTGTCTGAAATCTTGCTAAAAGTTATTAACGGAAATAAATTCCGCTATATTTTTATTGTGGATTGACTGAAATATTATTAAAATGCATGAAAGTGGCTCAAGCACATCCACATTAGTATTCACGTACCAGATTAGAAGCAAATTTGTGGTTAAGTGTTGAATAAAGATTTCAATTTGAAGCAAACTAGTGCTGACTAGATCTTAATACCAACAAGCAAATAGCTAAACACCAAAAGCTTTGGTACATGACATAGTCCATTTTCACAATTGAGTTTCATTTCCATTTTAGACATAAATCTTTGTAAGTAGTAACAACCCATGAATATATATTATTAAGCAACATCTTTACATTTCAAATTGCAATGGAAGTGCTCATGAGCGAATCATTCCAGGAAATCAAACCTTTTAACAACATGATCCTCCATAGTGGCTGAGAAAAATGTCTCCTTACAAAGAGAAAGAGAGGTTTGAAAAGCTTTTGCTGCCAAGCTGCGTGTCACCTGCCAGGTGGTGGATACATGCATATGAGAAGATTAAAACAGAAAAAGTGACATTCTTTAGAAAATTCAGTCCAAATACCTTGAAGGCAGCAATTGGCTTGGTAAAGAGATAACGCCAGACTAGCCCACTAATAAAAATAAAGAAGAATTATCAACCAGTGCAATCACATTTAAAGTTTCTTTATCTTTCTTGCTTACATAATATCCATAACATACTAGAGTTTAGATAGTTACCTATTACCAGAAGGAGGTACAGAGCAAACAAGGACAGCTCCTCTAAGCTTTGGGTATAAATCTTCTATTTATAGAATCAAGCTCAAACAGAATTAGCATAATGAACCAGAATTGTATACATATAAATTTGATTTGGATTTGATTGGATCAAATTTTCAAATTACAGCCGAAGTTTGATTGAATCTAATTAAAAAAAAAATTCTGAGTTTTGAGTATATTCATTCGGTTTTTGTATTTATATTGGATTGAACCCTTTATAAACACCCCAAGTCATTCATTACCAGAAAAAGACTTCTTTCTAAAGACTAAATTGTTAATCTATATTAGAAATTTAAATAAAAAAGACCTGATTATTTGGCCACATTCACTCTGGTGTTTTCATCTCAAGGTAAAAGTAACCAAAAATAGGCATCTAGCGTAAATTATTCTAAACAATTAACCATTGTACGAGCCTAAAAAACCAGAATCCTATAATCTAACCATTTTTCAACAAGCAACTGAAGGAATAAGCCAGAGTGAGAAACTACCATTGATTTTGCGACTTCCTAAATTGGAGATATAATACTGAATAATAAGTCCCCCAAATGAATGCCCAAGTAAAACAGGTGGTGATCTAACGTTTCGATAGATAAAATCGGCAACATCTCTTGCATGTGTCTACTGCAGAACATGGTACAAACAAAAGAAAATATTATCTAACCATGAATAATACATCATTAAATTATCAAACAATAAAAATGAAAAATCACATATTAAAAAAAAATAAAAATCTGAACTAGTACCTCAAGTGTACCAGCAACTGAATCAGCAGGTTCATCACTTTCACCCTGCACCACACGTGTGCAAGAACAGTAAGTGAAGAAACATAAGAGAGAGAGGGAGGGAGGGAGGGAGGGGGAGAGAGAGAGGAGAGAATGTGGCATAGCATTGTACCTGTCCTAACAAGCTAAGAGCATAGCAATCATAGCCGGAAGAAGAAAAAAAGGGGAACCAGTGTTCTGCCCAACACCAAGCAGCGTGGTAGCTTCCATGAACAAATACCAAAGGTGGGTATTCCACATTCTTGTTCTTCTCTGCATCACCAACACCCTTTTGCACAATCACCTCCATGCTTAGACCAGAGGGCAGCTCGTGGAATATACGAGATTGCCCTTGCTTCAGATCGTAGTGGACACGCATCTTCATCTTGTTGTCTTTGCTTATTGTTGCTAAGGGCTTCAAATTCGAAGAACAATTCAGAAAATGAGTATGGAACCGTGAAACACACACTGCCATTGCCCCTTTTCGTTTTCTTCTTTAAAGTTTTGGTCTTTAACGCCAATAAGATAAGGGTCACGCCCACGCTGAACCTACACCAACACCAACCTCTTTCTTTTTCTCTCTTCAGTAAACCATAGCAGAAACCTATGTCAGTTTGGAACATGCATTGAAGTTAGTTATCTTAGATTTAAACAAGTGGTTGAATACTTTAAATGTAATTAAAATATCTTCAATAACAAATCCTCATTTGTTGATTTATGTGATGAAAATAACTATTCATTTTGAATTCAGTCCAATAAACTATAAATAATTATTAGATTAGTTTATCTAATTTTATTCTATTAGATTTTATGTATATTTGGATAACCAAAATCATATGATGTCAGCATTTCTCTAATCAGTTTATGGCAACTCCATTAGAAATTTAGAAATAATGATCTTAGATTAAAACAATCTCAAAGCCAAAATTCAGTTTTTTTGGGTCAACAAAGCCCAAATTTAGTTGAAGTGGGCCGACACGATGCATTGGGCCAAACATACCACAAAAGGAGAGTAAGATCCTATTGTTGTTCAATTGAGCAGCCACACACACCCTTCGACGGAGGTAAACCCTTTTCCTTACGTTTCATATTTTCTCATTTTCTGTTCAATTGAGTGTTCTTTTGTTTGAATCTCAATCATTGACTCATTTCACCATATTTTATTCATTTGCTGTCTATTTTAGCTTCAGTGAGTGAAATCTTGAAAGGTGTTAAATGTATTTTTTTTGTAGATGTACAGTTTGATTAAATGGTAGTTTTACCCAATTGTGGTCTATGCTGACTTTGATGCTTGGGTTTGTGCTGAACCTTACAACTGTGTGTGCTTGAGAACATGGGTTTAGGCTGAGGATGTCTTTTGGACTTCCATTTACACAAGTAAATGGTTTCTTGGACTTGAATTCTGAATTTGCTTGCTTGTTTGCTTAAATATGCACAGCATGAGTGCAAGATTGTGGATTCGGAATCTGATGATTGGATTTTCATGTTTTAAGTTTGATTGATTCTTTCTGAGCTTTGTACTTCTGTTTTTCTTATTCTTGAGTTTTAGAACTAAACCAAATCACATATTATTGAGCTTGATTTGGAGTTATATAAGACTTTGCCTACATTAACAAATGTAAATGCATGTTTGTTGTGCTTGGTAACTTTGAGGTCCTGTTGTCTTTGATTAGTATCAGTGCCACTTTAAATAAGAATAATGCTTAATAGTACCATTTTTTTTAGTACAAAAGTCACGAAAACTGTTTTTAACCATGATTGAATGATTCCTGTCCAGTAAATCTCATTTTAAAATTTTAATGGTTTAATGTTTAACCAATAAAACACAAAAATATCCGTTCGAACCAATTTTGTATGTCATTTTTCGTACCAAATAGCAGCAATCCTTAAATAATGATTGAAGCATCCAACCGTCTTTTGTTCCCTTCTAATAGTTCAATATACGGAGATGGAAACGGAATCTTGTGATGCTGTGCATCCTAGGCCCCAGGTGAAGGCGACAATTTCACTTGGATCAGAATCATATTCTGTTCAGGCAAACAAAGGTTCGTTGTCAGAGCAATTAGTTTCACTGAAAGAGGAAAGCATGACCATATTGAAGGATTTCATAACAAAGCATAATGTTCCTCATGATGTTCCAGACGAATCATTAGAAGCTTCTTCAGATGAGGATGATGAGGATATTCCGGAGAAGCCTCAAGTGACCTCTAAGAAAACTAAGTTGACTTAGCTTTTGAAATATGCCATATGAGTTTGAAGATTTGATGTATGTACTGTATGATTTAACATATAGTTAGTTTGTTGAAAAATTTACGTAGTTTTTTTTAACAGACGAAAACAAACTTTCATTTTAATGGAAACAGGGTTGTACCTTCACTCTTCATATGTTTCCAGTTTGAAGTTGCTCTTTCGTTTATTTGCCCTTGTCTGTGTTCTATTGCAGCTGAAGTAAGGAACCTTCAACGGTTTTAACTCTCAACCAGACAGATACATGATAAGAGTCCATGCATTACGCTTGCTAGTTTAACAAAATAACAAATTTGTGCATTTTACCCACATAAAGTAATGTAAAATATAAAAGGATTAACAATTTTTTTTATATTAGATGAAAATTCTAGATACGAATGATGGATACAATTTTATAATTTCTCGTTGCTTTTACGGTGTGCATGGCAGTTACATAAGAATTTGTCTTGTTCTTGAAATGTTATATATATTACCTAAATTTGGAATTAAATATAAATAGGACTTGTAATGGTACTACTGTAGTTTATTAGTGGATTTTATTACACAACTGCAAAGTTTATATTTAAGTGATAAATATAAAGAGAAGTTTAATTGAAAGTTTGCTTTGCATTGGAAATAGATACGCGTGAGATAGAACAAATAACTGATTATGTAATATGTGAATTGAAGACCAAAGATATAAAATACCAATGAAATTTATATGTAACTTCAAGTCAAACACGACTTCCTAAAATTCTTAAACTTCAAACGAAATCCTAGTTTACTTCTGTGCTTAACAGTGCCATCTATAAAGTATGACCCTCTTTTCTGGAAGTTCTGGTCATGGCTTTGGTGATGACATGAGTAAGAATCCCAATAGGGCAAAAGAACAAGCAAAAAGAAACCGAATGCCGAGTTTCAATCTGATTCTCCAGTCCATCTTGGAAAACCTGCCTGCATACATAACCACAAATACTATTAGAAAAATAACTAACAACGGGGTGCAGAGGGAAAGCAAAGAAGATAGATAAAATGAAGGACCTTGCAGCAAAAAGATCAACAACCAACAGGTGAATCCAGGCAGAGGCTAAAGTCAACTCACTGGAGAACATTTTTCCTATACTAGTCAGCTGCACATAACACGGTTTATCAGTCGAATAGAACTCTTTTGGGAAAAGAAACTTCATTGTTGAATGCATACTCACCTCTGGTAGCAAGTATTTACTTGCAAAAATCAATTGGATTGTCTCAGGGGTCCAAGAAAGGTACAATAAATATGCATATAGAATGCCAAGTACTACATACGGTATACTACTTTCCATAGACTTCTTGGTCTGCATTTTTGCATATAAGGAAAATGAATTAGAGACATGGACTACAGAATCAAAACCCAATAGAAGATATGAGAAAGAAGAATATCCAAATTCGCCCAAAAGAATAATTTTACAACTACAGAAAAAAATAGGTCCAGGTATAAGCACGTCTATGTATATAAATTTTTTTTGCATATTATATATACTTAAGAAAACGTGTTGTTAAATGAACCTAAAAGTTGCAGCTGCATTATGATTACCAATTATAAATTTTCTCAAATGTAGTAAGAAACATACTAGCTCAGATTTTGGAGCTAGAACCATGAGTGTGTAAAATGGGAGCACTGCTATTGTTCCAATTGTAAATGCATTGCTAGCAAGTTGAGATCCCAAGAACCCTGAAACATGAAAGCAGAAAAAGGAATATAAGGAACAAAAATAGTCACCACCATTTATACAGAAAGAAGGAATGTTCAATCAACTATATATAAAGAGTACAGTTGACTATCGCTTTGCTCCTTACCATTATTAATGATAAAAGAATCATTCATTCCCATTACATATTACAGCACTACAGAAAAAATTACTAGGATATTTAGAGTTTAGACTGGAGAAAAAGAATGATTGTAATGATTTCAACAGTTAAAAGCAAAACTTTATACCCAACCAGAATGATTGTAATGATTCTAGGACATAGACTGGTACATGAGTAATAGTCAATCTCCCTTGGACTAGGGAAAGGTGGGAAAAAATAAAACACAACAAAATAAGGGGTCTTTATTCTTGTGGAATCAAGACACAATCTACACAAAAGAAACTCACCAGATTGGTGCAAGGATTGCACAATAGATGCAGTGAATCAATATTAATTCCCTGGTAAGACAAATCCAACATTTTTCACAAAAGAACTAAAATTTATCCCAATTAAAAATCCCTCACAGCACAATTCTACTGAATGATAAGTTATATCAATGAAGAAATAGCTTGCACCAATGATATTATATCAATCAGAATGCACAGAAAATTTCCATGGATCAAAAAGACCTCAGATCACTGAAAGTAATTTTAAAGCAAAGAAGCCTAATAACAAAAGCTCCAACTTTACCTGTAGGAAGCTCTGAGAAATGAAAAAGTGCTATCAACATGCAAAACCAAAACACTAGAGACTTGGTAAAAAAATTGGACCAGCACAAGACACACGAATTGTAAAACTGAGTTTCAAAAGTAGAAAATGTAGCATAAGAAAGGGTTACATGAAGCATGTATTTGACCGCATTTGGGATAATGAAGCAATCTTGTGGCTTTTGGTTTCACAATAAATTTGGATCCTCCTATGAAACTCCAATCTCCGCTCAAATTGACTCTACTTCTCACAATGTGTCTGTTACAAAGCTCAGCACCTTTACTTCTGATAGGGAAAGGAAAATTTAGCCCCTTCCCAACTGAATTACAAGGTTTTACAACCTGCCCCAAACGTAAGAAACATAATCTCAATCGTAAGCAAAATTCTTGAGCCCAGAAATACACATTATATTATCAATGCATGAGAATAAATGAACCACATTGATTGATATCTAACATTTCTTTTTCTCAGTGTGAAATTATCAGGTTGTGCTGACGATTCTTTAAATGACAGATTAACTCAGTTCAACATGCAAAGATCACTCGAACAAACCCATGGATTTTACATTAGAGGAAAAGTGAGTAAATTAAGCTTGATTTTGAAACGAACTCCATTTTAATATAGATCCACAAAAAGCAAAACAAACAACCATGTCAAATCTAACAAATTTAAAAGGGAAAAAAATGCACAGACGCCCATTTCGTTGGAAATACTTTGGTGATTCAAATCTATACCAGAAAGCCATTTCAATGAGATATTCAATCAAAGTTTAAATCTTTGAAGTTCAAATAGAAAGCCCATTTAAGGGGTGGTGAAGAAATGAGTAACAGTCCACAAAAACTGCCTCAAAAAGAATGAAAAGAAAAAAGACAAGAAATTGCAGATAAGATCACAGAAAGAGTACCTCGAGTGGCAAAGGTGAACGGGAGAAGCATGAAGAGAAAGACATGACTGAAGAGCAAACACAAATTGGGTAACAATGGGCACTTCTTCATAAATGGTAATATGAAGAGTGAAGTGAGAGCATTGATAGAGAGGAGAGAAGTGAGCAATTGGAAACAAACTCAAATAGTTGGAGTTGTGTGGAAGGTGAAGTCAAACAAGTAAAGGGTGTGAAAATGAAACTGAAGTGTTAGCAGTGCTCTCTCTTTCTCCCACTTGCACCTTCTTTGTTTGTCCTTTCTTTGCTTCTCCATGTTGGAACCAATTAATGAATGGTTGTGTTTTCCATAGTTTCAAAATTTATTTCTGTAATTTTTAATTAAAATATATATTTAAAAATAAATTCAAATTAATTTATGTACATATTTAAAATTATTTAATATTTTATTTATTTTAAAATATATGTTTAAAGTAATAAATGTATTTAATTATTGAACTTTAACTCAAATATGCAATAAGTTAATTATGTCATAACACTGCATATTCAAATAGATATCTATAAATTATCTTATGAAGTAAAGTTTGAATAAATTAATAAAAATAATTTATAATATTAAAAATACTATTTATCTTATAAAAAATCTTATTAATTCACTTAAATTAAGATATTTTATTAATTATAATATAACTTCTCATTAATTTATTTATTCATTAAACTATAAGATATATATATATATATATATATATATATACGATCTTTAAATTAAATATATAAATTTTTATTTTTTTCAAAAAATTATAATTTTTTATTTAGTATTTCATTTTTACATTTTTTTAATCAGTCTACCAGTTTTTTTAAAATATATATTTTATTCTTGTAATTATCACTTATTTATAAATTAATTTTTTATATTTTAATAATAAAAACTTAAAAATTAAAAAGTAATAATATATTTGTATAGAAATTAAAATATAGAAATTAATTTGTAAACATACGTGATGTGTGCATTTATTTATTTTCATGTAATATGATACCTACAATTGAATCAATGCATGTAATCAAGTGCTGTACACTGTTTATAAGAACACACAACAGATTGTATAATTTTCTGGGAAAATGGTTCATATTTTCCCTCGAAAGGTCAAAGGAAGTTGTCACTCCTGAAGTAGATGCCAACTTGGTTTTCTTCAAACACCAAAGCCTTCCACTTGTGTTCACAAATGCTTTGCTTTTCTCTCAACTTTCATTCTTGTTGCCCTATTCAATGTCTCTATCATTACCATTTGTGTTTTCTAATATGCAAAAACATAGCCATTTTGGTCTGATTTTATTTTTAAACACAGAACTACGACAGTGCAATGCTACAAAACAGTACCTATTTCAATTTAAGAATTATATATATATATATATATATATATATAACTTTTATTATTAATATAGTTATAGGAGAAAAAAATTCAAACCAATGTCATCAAATAAATAAACTTTTTAAGAATGATAACATACAAGCTTATGACATAAATATTTTCATCATTGTCTTATCACTTAGCTTTTATCACGATATTTTACCATTTGAATATGTCATATAAATATAAAGTTTAATTGACTTGCATGCCTTACTTATACACTAATTTTGATATGTGTATATTTGTATATCAATTAGTGTTTATTGTTAAGTCAAATGTTAATAATTTCCATAAATCCTAATTATATGCATAGAAATGTAACTAAAAACAAAGAGAATAAACATTAGGTATACGTACAAATTTTATTAATTTCCTTGATTTAAGTAATGCAAATAGAGTCATATAATTTAAATTAACATCAACCACTAAAAGATTTAACAATCAAAGCCCAAATTTCAATTTACAAAAGATGGATCCAGTTCGACGATTAATCATCAAGACCAAATTTAGGATTGTTTATTTTAGATCTTAATATTTAAAGGTAAGATAAAATAATTACTTTTATTATAGTAAACTAAAATTATTTTTTTACTTAAATATAATTATGTTTTGCAAAATTTAATGGGTTATATAAATAAAACATTTTTTAAAGTGCAAATCAGTTCAAACAATACATAGTAGTATTATGTGAGAAAGTTCTTTTATGTGAGAATAGAAAAATAAATTTTAATTATTAAATTTTATTTTTATAAGTGATTATATAAATTTTTAAATCTTATCATCATAATAATTGATGTATCATGTATATTAAAAATTCATTTCATTAAATACCTCATATATATATATATATATATATGACACAAATTGACTTTTGCTTGAATATAAACAAACACCTAGCCCACATAATAACTTGAATAATTGACATAAGATTTAAGAAAAAAACCTTTATCAACAAAGAAATTTGCGTGTTTATATGAATTTAATTATAAGAATCATTTTCAACTTTTTAATTGAAACAAAATCTCTTTCAAAAACATATTACTATATTAATGTATTAAAGAAGAAACCATTATCTGTTAATTTAAATAGTAAATAATTTAATTTCTTTTAAAAGTAACATCTTAAATTCAAATTATATTAGCATATACTTTTATTAATTTTAAATTTTAAGATTAATTTAAATATTCAAAAAAATATTCATTATAATTTTACTATAATGAATACTTTCAAAATAATTTAACATTTTTAATTATTTAAAATCGGCTAAAATTGACATTTTTCAATAATATAACATGATTGTAATTGACTAATTGTATTATTAAGGAAGAAATCGTTTATTTAATATTTTTATTTTGAGAACGACGTCGTATAGGCTTTTGCCTCTATCATAGTAGCTCATAAATTGGATAGCTCAACCTTCGTTCTCTTTTCCTTTCCTCTTCCCCACTGAGGCAAAGCTTCATTCATTTCTTCATTTGGAGGATACCCTCTCAGGTCTCTCTCTCTCTCTCTCTCTCTCTCTTGATTTTGTGAGAGTTAGCTGGTTAAGTCAAACCCAAGTTTGTTTTTTTATGTATCTTATCCTGGCTCTTTATGACCCACCCAGAAGAAAGAAAAAACAAATAATGAAGATTTTTCATGGTTTGGACTCAGATCTGCTGTTGATTTGTGCACTTAATTCCACACTTTTTTTGTATATAGTAGATAATTGGGAGTTAGTGAAATGGGTTGTGCAATTTTCTTTTCAAGTTTGTTTATTTATTTTTGGGTTTTGTTTTGATGCACTGAATTGATCTGGCTAAGTAGATCTGTTAGACAATTGCAGCTGGGGTTTGTGCTCTCATTCCCTTTGTAAATAATTGGGATTAGGATTTCAGTGAGTAAAATAAAGTTCAGGCTTTTGATATATTTTGTTTACATTTCCTGAATGTTTATATAATATTAATTTTTTTGGCCTTGTTCAGGCGTTCTACTGTGGAACTAAGCCAATTTTGAAGATGAATTGTTATAATCTTCAGCAGAATGCCTTTGCAGTTGGTGAAGAGATGAGAGGTTCTCTTCCCATTGCTGATCAGAATGGCCCTGTCATTTGCCCTAAGCCACGCCGTGTAGGGGTTCTAATGAACGTACCTATTCGGCCGTTAAGGTGGCATTTGAGGTAAGTTTTAAGGTGGATTTGTTGCCTTTTGATGTCATTGTTGTGTTAGAAGGCACTGTGAATCTGATCTGTTCTGTGTTCTGTTTCGTTTATTAGTCAACAAGCTGAGGGGTCTGATTCAAAAGGTGGCGCAGAGCTACTTGACATTATTCTCAAGAGGGTAAGTGTTGAATCCGTACAAGTTGTTTAGTTTGTGTTTGAACCAAGGTGATGAAGAGTTCTAATGCAGAATAAATTTAACTTTCTTAAATATTATTTTAGTCTCTTAGTAAATCATGGGTCTTTAATGTGATATTAGTTTGTTGCTTTTATATGGGAATGACTTGTGGTAATTCCCAAAGTTGCATCTTCAAATTGCCTTTTTTCATTGGAACGATTTTGGGCTCAAAGTTGTATAGTATTTACAATTTTTTGTATAGATGGATCTGCTTACAATTGGCATGGTCGTAGTTTTGCTGCAATGGATGCTGTCTGACATTGATCTTTGATTGGTTAATTTATATTTTTCTTTCAATAGGAGAGTTATGGAGAAGAATTTGGCAATCAGGTACCCTCATCTCCTCCATATTTTTGTGGATCTCCTCCAGTTCGGGCAGCTAACCCCTTGACTCAAGATGCTCGATTTGGAGACGAAGAGCACGCTATTCTGTCAACAATTTCATCGCCCTCAAGCTTACTGTCTCCATCTTCAGCATCTCGTAAAGGAGGATGTGCTCGGATGAAGTTTGGACTTAAACCAGCTGCAGTTAGAGTAGAAGGATTTGACTGCCTCAGCAGGGACTGCCAGAATTCAGGCATCCCCGCCGTTGCTTAAACTCCATTCATAGAAGTGTATATAGAAGAAGCCAAGGGCCACTACTTTATAAAACGTGACTTAGAGAGAATTTTGAATGTTTTGGAGGGAAGTGAGAAATTGAGTTAGTTGTGTATATAGCAAATGTTTTTTGTATGGTGATCATCTCATCGTGATTATCCATGACAAGTTTAGGGAACTGCTGAAAGCAAACCTTCTGTTCTTGAGAAGGTTTGATGTGTAAAGAGCATGTCTTTTTTGTAATATTAGGCGGTTGTATCTGAGTGTGAAAATTTTTAGGTTATCCCCACAAAATGTTCTGTATAGAATTGGTGATTTTGGTTTTCATCCCTGTAAATATATTTAGGTGACTTTGCAAGTGTCTACTATATTTAGTCTTTAAACTTGTATTTTCTGTTCCTAAATGTAATTGGTAAGCATTCGTTTTGAATTTATGTGGATCAATGTTCAATGGCGACCAAGTTACTAATTACTAGGTGCATTATTATTGAAGGGATCAAACAAAATGCTGATAAACATAACTAATAGTACATTTATACTTTTTATTCTTCCATCTACACGCACCTTTTATGTTAAAAAGAAAATAACGAGAGAAAATTATTTCTTTTGATTTTTTTTTTCTTATGAAAGATAAATGCATAAAAGAAGATGTAAACATTTAAGTTTAAAAATAACATTGCTCTTAAATAAAATTTAAAGGAAACAGTAAGATTGCATAGTTTATGAATATAATATTCTTTATTGTTAAGAACATAACAAACATAACAAATTCATATTAAAAGAAAATAAAACAAAATTATTATCGTTTAGTATTGTGTTTCCTTTTAGAATCTCTACACCTATTCCATTGGCCAGTCACAAATTGCAAAGAGGAGGAAAAAAAATCCAAAGAAAATGCATTATATTGCCTTTTCCTCAACCACAGGTGTGGTGTTGATTACAACCCTTTTTTGGTAGCTAAGATGATGACAAAGGCTTGCCTCAGCAATCAATACAGTCCGCAAAACTTATGTTAATAATCCTCCCAAAAGAACATTTTCTTAAATGGTTCTTCTCCAGAAAATTTATGAAAAAATAAAATAAAACGCTAAGAAATTAAATAAGTCTTATGTTAGAGAGAAGTTTACCGGATGACACATTTTAAACTTTTCTTGAATAAAATGAATACTTTTGTTTTCTCATATATTCCCCATATTTTTTGTTGATTAGTTTTCCATTTTGAAGAGTTTATTTGTATCTTGTACATTCAGCCAGCCGTGTGTTATGTTAGCTATAAACGAAACTTCTTGTTTGTTTCTTAATCTTAATACGGTCTTATCCACAAGTGTTGCTATCTAAGGGTCTTGTAATTAATGCAACCTTAAAGGCGTCGAGGTAGGCTATTATCTATCAAACTCATCACTGCTGAATGATTAAGGTCCTTTTTGTTTAGCTGTGTCAAGAGAGTTCACACATTAATTAGGGTTAAAAAAGTGTTAAGAAGTTAGTTTTTTCAAAGAATTTTTTTTTTCAATTCCCAGTAACTTCATTTAAACTTTCATACAAACAGGCAATAACTAGTTAGTAATCCCTGACTTCCAGCTACAAGTTCCAAACAGAAAAAGAAAGGAATCGCATGGTTTCCGGATACTGAGTAACACGACATGATCTTAGAAAGGGAAAGACAATTTTTATCAAATATAAGTAGCAAGTCTTACAACAAATCATGATGAGTTTTTGTTTCATAAATTTTGTATTATTTTATAGAAAACATTATAATGTTTTGGCACTTAACACCAGGAAAGATCCAAATTCAAAAAAGTAATTAGAGAATAGAGTTGAGATTAATTCTCAGCCATGATCAGATGCTGACAAATATTGGGATTCGGGTGATTTCAGAAAATTTGTTTTAGTTTGGTAGTAACAAAGTTTGATCAAATCCAACTGTCTTTGGCTTTATGTTGAATTTGGATTCATGCGGCCCTTTCAAAACTACAGTTATGATTTGTAAGTTGCTGAAAGGAAAGCGAAGAAAAGTCTCAAATGTATCATTCAATAATATAGCAGATTGGACAAGAAAATACAAACTTATAGTTAAGGACGTGCAAAAGTTGTAAGAATTATTTGGTCTTGAAAGTTCAGTAGCTTCATGGAGTATAAGTTGGAAGTTATTTACATCACTTTGGATCACTTTGGACTGGATTGAGTCCTTCTGTAGTTCAAAGTTATAGCTATATTAGTTAGAATACAACTTTGTTGCCTATCAAGATGCACATCAACTCTTTGCCCAGGAAAGGTATTGGCTCGCAACCAACTCTTCAAAAGTACTCCATTTTACCTTTGATGTGGAATTGAATTCAACTAATCATGAAAAATAAACACCATATTGCTAGATTAACTCCCTTAATAATTTCTTGGCTCTGCAATTGCGTTAAGAAACAAAATATTTCAAATTATAATTTTAATTTTGAAGAGAGGGGAAAGGTTTTATATCTCTGACACTGCACCTTACTTAGTATGGTATCCTGATTCATGCCTTCAGTTCCTTTGTTAGTTAAATTTAGCAGAAATTTCAGGGGAAAAACCACTTACAATGGGTTATTAAGTAAACCTTTCATCCAGTCATTTGCATTTGGAACAGAAACCAAAAACAAGCACAGGATGATGACATTTCCGATTAATAGAAAAAAGCAGAAAAATGGGAAAAGCAGGTCCTTACTGAAGTAACATTTAAACAAGCAGATCCCAACAAAGGGAGGGGGGGGGGGGGGGGCACAAATGTCAAATTTAGTAGCCTTGGGGCTTGTAGGCAATGAAACTGATGCACTGAACTTGGCGAACATTGTCAAAACCAATGATACGGACAAAAGAATTGGGGTATGCCTTCACTGCCTCATCAAGACACCTGAGAAGCCTCAGTGCAACCAAACATGGGAAGCTTCCACATGGTCCAGTAACGTCCATCATAGTATCCAGGTGACCTGTGGTTCTCACGGTACACAAACCCATGCTACACGCACACAGTGAGAACAAAAAAATCAACCATACTAATTCAAAACCACAAACATGCAAAACAAAGGGGTGCAACTAAATTAACCTTCAACTCGAATTCCAAGCAAGGAATCCATCCCTTTCTAAGAAGGTATTCTACTTCCTTTAACAGTTGCTCTCTGGAGAGAGGTGGCAGCTAGGATAGAGTCTCGAACTTGTTCTTGCCAATCGGTGGCATACCTAGTAGTATGCATAAAATTGAGTAAAAGAGTTGGTGACAAACTTGTAATTGTGATTACATTTGGCAATGATGCCAATGCCATTTTAAGTAACCTTATAGTACAAAAATATGTAGCATTAGCATGCATTGTAATCATTTTGATGCCTTTACGTGCATGGAGCTGTCTTACCTGCATGCATTGCACTCTTCCACCGTTGCTTGCAAGGGAGGTAATGTCATTGTTGACCTTTCTAACTGGGAAGCCAGCCATTGACTTGAGGCCAATGAATGGAGCTACCATGCTAGCCAGTGCCGGAGAGGCACGGTTAACGGTGGTGACAGCTGGGGAAGAAATCATAGAGGAAGCCATTTCTCTCTCCCTTCTCTAAATACTGATCTTGGAGATGCAAGGCAGAAACTCAAACTTGCTATATATAATGGTTTGATTTTAATATTTATAATCAAATGATATGAAAAAGAGGATTGGCTAGTGCCTAATTACAATAGTTGGATTGTGAAAATGGTGGCATTGCAGCATAATAGCCACACCAGAGTGGAAAATTTTGAATGCTGGCCTTATGGTTGGGCACCACTATGTCAGTGCCACGTGGATGAAGTACCATTATCTTATCCCCTCATGAGAAGAAAGTTAATGTGTGATGGTGGTTAAGTTGATTTTTTTATTATGACTTGGTATTGTATCCCTGAAGTAGCATTGTATGTTTGCCTCATGGAATTTTGTGACCATCCCTTCTTTACAAATATCTATCATCCATGGCGTGGGTTAAGTTAACCTTTGTCGTCTCACCAATGTAAACTGAAAGATAGTGTCTTATCCCTTTTGTTTGTAATCTGAGAATGTGCTTCTGTCTTCACTAGTGCATGGGGAAAAAATTTCTATATTTCCTCTAAAAGCCACAAAAGCAAAGTGGATAAGCAAAATGTGAATATGCTAAGCCATGCAAGAAGAATTGACTGATTGGACTCCTTACCTTTCTTATAGTTGGTTAATGGAACAGCTCATATGCTCAAAACATGTATTAAAAACATTAAGAACCACAAATTCGTTGATTGATAAACTCTAGCAAACCATACCATCAAGAACTAAAATGTAAATCATGAACCAGACTTATCTCCAAGTGCATTGCAGTGGATAACAATGCAACGCAAGAAAAATAGAAAGTCACGTATTTTCAAGCAGCTCTGACACATGCTTTTGAAATTTAATATGACAAAGTAAGAAAATAAGATACGAAATAAGGAGAAAAAAATTTGCAGTGAAATTTCACAAGGAAAATTCCGTTTCCGTTTGTTTTCACGTTCCAAAATAAGATACGAATTGAGGATCTGTTTGTATTAACATTGGAACCTCCATTGTTTCGCGACAATTTTTTTTTTAATCTTACAAAACGTACCTCATAAATCATGTGAACTCCGTTTCATGTGCCGTGTTTATAAACCAAACAAGCCCTAAAAATGTCATTGAAACTTGGTTTCACAGAAATGTTGCATACACAGATATTTCGTGTACTCAATGTTAGATATTTCGTTTTCTTTTTTTATTGAGTTTTGGCAAAAAGTTATTTGATCACAAATATGGGAGAATAAAAGGTTCACTTTAATTTTAAGGCATAGTTTTTTAGATACATGTATTAAAAAAATAAAAATTAAAAAATATAACTTATATGATATCACATACAATGTGTGCTTTTTTATGTTCAAATATCAGATTTGATGAGTTTTGTTTCTCTTTCAAGAGGGAATCTTTCCAGTTTCGTTTCTGTTGAGTTGTAACTATCTCTGCTAAGCTGTAGTGGCGTCAGCTAGTAAGGATATTTCTTATTAATCAATAGAATGCAAGAGTGTTAGAGTTATCCATCTCTCAAATAAATAAATAAATATCTACAGGACTGTACTTGTATCAAACTTCGCTTGATGGTTACATCCCTAACATGACAGGAAGAAAGCATATATATATGAATAGGTACTAATTAGTCTTCAGAAAATGCATGATCAAGAAAATATTCAGAGAAGATATTCTCCTAGCTAGTTACTTTTCCCCACATCTCGAATCCTTCCAGAAATCACAGCCAGTTGGAGGTTTCATCATCCTTTCAATTTTTCTAATATACTCACAAACCCTCCCTTCTTCAGCACATCTTAACCCACTGAAACTTGGCAATGAAGCCAGCACCTGAACTGCTGCAGCCTTTCACAGCTGTATTGAAACAAATTCCCTTCCACTCCACCTGTGTTCACCGCATATTGTAAACATTTTCACAGCAAGCTTAATTTTTTCTTCGAAAGACCCTACTTTCTTTCAACTTACTCGTGACAGAATAAAGTTTTCAAGGAAGAATGCAGGGGTACAAAACCAAGGTCAGCAAGATGAGCGTCTCACTGGTTCCATTAAGATTGCTAAACGGTGAGGAATCACTGTTTTCTTTTTGCTTTTTTTCCTTCCTTCCTCACACCATGGACACAAGAATTTACAGTCCTTTATGGACCCAAATATCCAATATTATTCAGGATATATCACTAATACAATATTATTCAACCTGCCAGCTTAAGTGAATATTTTTTGAACCTGATGTGAATGGCATCACGGTGCAGGTATCATCTCCTACAATACTTATTAGACCAAACCTGATAAGAAATTAATGACCATGAATGTGCTTGGGTTCTTGTTTCGGGTGGTGTGGATTTTGACTTCCTCCAGTAAAACAAGTTTCAAGAAGATGATACTCAATGTTATTGAACACAATATATTTCTCGACTCCATGTTCCAATAGTCATCTTAGAAAATTTCAGTTACCATACAACTTATAAAATTAAAAGACGATATCAAGAATCAAGTTATCAGTGTGGATAAAGTGCCATCGAGCATTGCCTTTATAATTCTTCAGTATTTTAGGGATATAGACTTGGGAACAATATTTTCAGGGCAGGTATTTCCATGCAAAGGTAATCCCCCAAAATTATCCGCAAGATGGAATGAATGCATAGATTCCCAAGGGCATGAGAAGCATGATAGATTCATTAAAAGAATTACAATTTGCAGGATAAGATCCTATTAAGAGAGAAAACATGGCATCAGGTGCCAATTTCCAAAATGTTATTTATGAACAACAACGAAATAGTAGCTACTAGTCCTAGTTTTTGTTCCGAAGACACTGATAATTTTCATCATCCATTAACACATTAAGCGTTTTAAAACAAAAAATCATTCAATTCCTATCCCCCTTTTCACTTTCACTTGCAACACCAATCAAGATCAGAGCAATTAACCTAAACAGCATCACCAATCCATTCCATATGCCTCATCATTCGAAGAAACAAAATCAAGCAACAATTAAGCAACCAAAATTTAAATTAAAAATAAAAGTGATAAGTTTAGTTTTACAAGAGCAAACGGCATCAAACTCAACGCGCGATGCTGTGCCAAGAAATCGCTGCTTTACGTTTGTTCCTATGCACCCACGCATCGCTATTCCTTCTCCAATGCCGAACCTGCAACGTTTCTTCCCCTCTCTCCCGCGGCGCGAAAAACGCTGGCCTCGCCGCCGCCACCGCAATCCTCGGCAAACCCAACGAAGAAACAGATTCCGATTCAGATTCAGGTCGCTTAGCCTCCGATGAAAACGCAGAGAAGAAAATTTCCCTGGACGTCGTTCCAACGGGCGGAAGCATCGAATTGAACGCGAACACGCCGCGGATGCCGTTTCTGTTAGCAGCGGTGGCAGGATCAAGTTGGACGACCCTAGAGGAAGCAGCGGCGGCGGCGGCAGCGGAGGTGCGGCGTTGGGGAAAGTGGACGCCGTGTAGCCAGCGAACGAGAGCGATGTTGGAGGAACGGTTAGGGTCGTACTCGATCCTTTCAACAATGCCGATAGAAGAAGCAGTGTTCCGTTTGAGATCGACGGTTCTTTGCAATCTCTTTGCTCCGCCGCCTCTGTGAAAAGACGTTATGCGCCCTGACGAGTTCCGGCCGGCGGTCTTGCCGGCGCCGAACGTGAATTGCCTCAGTGCTCTCTTAAGGCTAGACATTCTTCTCTCACTACTTCTATGCTGCTTCCTTTCAAGGTTAAGAATACACATTACTTCTAATATTAACATAAATTATTTGTCTTAATTGTATTTTGCTCTTGTATATTTTTTTAATTGTTAAAAACAACTATTTTATCTTACATTTTATTTAATAACTAATTTAAATATAATATAAACATTATGCAACATTAATTTGTATAAAATGGTAAAGAAAAATAGATAAATTATTTAAATAATATACATATATATATAATTAAGTTTGATATTACTTTGTTGTTAGCAATTTAGTGAAGTGGACACAGAATTTTGAACATTGTTAAAATGTTATATAGATCAAACGTAAAAGGAAAAAAAAAGTATATAACTATTTATTCTTAGCATTGTAATATTAATTAACATGTAAAATGGCTTTGCAACGAGTAGATATTGGCTAGCATTCTCTTCTTCTGAGCCTATATAACAAAATAAAATTAGAAAATAATAATAAATATTTATTGATATTATAAATTATAAAACAAAACAAATTGACAATTATTTGAAAAATGAAGTAAATGAGACTTATTATTTATTACTTTTCTTTCATTTTATTTGACAATTACTAGGACAAATTTTTTTATTTAAGATAATATTAATAAATATAAAAATATCTCAAAAATTGTATTTTTCAATAAAAGATTATTATCAGTTTGGGTATATGACATCATCTTTAAATTCTTGTTTTAATAGAAGTATTTTTGTCAAATAATGCTAGCTTGTTATAATAATATTAATTAATTAAAACACTTACAAGGTAATTAAAAGCATAAGTGGCAATAATGAATTCGAAGTTGAATTTATGTAATTAGGAAAATAAAAGAATTGGCATGGATGAAAGCATTTAAATGCAATAGTTTATGGGTGTTTAGAGGATTTAAATCTTCAGCAAATAGGAGTTGAATAGAGAGATAGAGTTGGTCAGCAACTAGTCCATTCCACTGCTAAAAGGCTAATTAATAAGTGGATATCAGTTATCAAGATTTTCCCATTAATCAAGCATTCAATTCAATGAACATGAACTGAAAATTGGGCGGTGGGAACCACAGAAAATTTGTCAGCCCATAGGACCGAATCCAAACCAGAAACCAGTCATTGGTTTTTGAGAAAACCAGTGTTAACAACTTAATAACAATTAATTAAGTTAATTTAATTGAAAGAGAGTTCCCAAAAACCAGGAGCTAAAGAAGATATTATGAGATTCCAAATAAATTGGCAAACAGATTTTCATTTTTTAATGGCCGCCATTCTGACATCCCACGCGCTCTGCTTCACTGCTCCCATCAACCACACATTTACCACTCTCATCTCCTTCTTTTTTTTTATAATTTTTTCATCAGTTAATTCCAATATAATTAATGCAAAGGGATTTTTTAATTTGTATAAATTAATGTAAAACTAAGGAACAAAAATAAAACTTCATATTAAATTATATTGGCGTGGTAGGTTGGGACTATAAGGCGCCCACAGGCACATAGCATAGTTTGGCAAAACTGTGTTATTACTTCTTATTCTCCTCAAATTCTGGAGGCCATAGCTGTCCCACTTTCCCAACTATTTCTCATTTTTCTGTGGTTTTCGCCTACTTTTTCTTCTCATCCTTATCTTCTCTTTCTTCTTTCACCTTTTCATCTTATCACTAATCACATTTTCTTTTCCCTTTCCAATCTCCATAACTCTTTAAAGATAATTGCTCTTTTGTCTCCCTCTTGATTAGGACTTTGTTTTCCCTACTCATATACATATATCAACATTTGAATACAGAAATAAATTGAATTTTTTTTATAATTATTAAAACTGATCTATGTTTATATATTTTATAAAAATCTAATGAAGTTAATTATTTTAAAGCAAAAAATGGTATGAGTGGGTGCATGGCAATGTGTCGTGGAGAGCTAAACGTGGCGGCTGAAGGGAATGGCCTCACACTAACGTGACAGATAGTCAGAATGTGAGTTGGACAAGGCGTATGCAAATCGGGCTTTTCCTTCCCCTAGCTTGGATGCTTTTGCATGCTCATGCAACTTGCCTCCACTACCTTCTTTTTATTATAAATGAAAGAGACACTGAAAATGCTATTTTTTTTTATCACTATATAAATAAAAAAACTATTAAAATATATGTTATGAATTTGTGCTGATAATATGTGAACATTTAATTATCTGTGCTAGAACGAGCTGTGCTGGTGAATGCTTATCAATGATCAGTGTTTGAGGAGGATTATTCTTATATTATAATCCAAATCAGCTATCATGATCGGTCATAATCAAAGATTGATTCATGTACATCACTCGATTGCATTTTAAGATTAAATTTTGCTACTAAGATACATAGTCACGAGTGTATGTATGAAAGGTGTGGAAAAATTTGTCTTGGGTAGTTGGGATAGATATATTTCTCCAATTAATCATGCTCGTTATCCATTTCACAATAATTTATTTTTTGAATAAGTTTTCTAACATTTTCATTAATACATTAATTTCAATGTAATTGTCTCTTATTATAAAAAAGGGTAGAATTTAACTCTGGCTGGTGTTTGGTTTTTTAGTTTTTAGAATGGGCAGAATAGTCTCAAAGTTTCCACATTTTAGCATATATAGTTAAGTTTAACTTTCTTAGAAAACATCTATTATGTTTTCATGTTTTTTATGTAATAAATATTTCTAATTATTTAAAAATAATTCCAAGACTCGATGCAATGTTTTCTTTAATTTTATTTATACAATATTGACCCCCTCTGGCTAATTGAGCAAGCCTAGGATGCCATTGAAGCTTGACAAAGAATAAGAAACTTGGTCTAAGTTTGGGAACAGCTCACATCTCAGTCCCATGTGTTGTTTGCAATATTAAGCAAAACGAATGTCTTCTAAACAAAGTCACTTTCCTTTAATTTCTTCCAAACAATTAACAGTCTCCCATTCAGTTTGCAACTTGTTTATTAAAATTTGTTCACATATTAACTTCATAATGTTCAAACATGTGAGTAATTAAATAATGTCAAAGATGTTGCAAACTAAGAATACAGTCTAAATTTTTTATAAGATACAAGTGGCTTTTTTTCCTATGAATTGATTGATTCAATTCAAATATGAAGTTATTCGAATATGATTAATCTTGTAATATTCGACATGTTAGATGTTTAATCTTAAATTAAAAAGAAAAGTGAGTTTCCTAATTTTCACACCCCACCAGCTGCCATCACTGTGAACGATGTTGGTGTTGCTGATTGTGGAATGATAGAATATTAGAATTGCTTTTAAACTGTGCGCGTTGTGGTATAAGCTAACACAGAATATCTAAACTAGTTATCATATATTAATTTCACAGCCGACGGAATGAGTTTGAGTGAGTGTTCATTATTTTAATTTTATTATATTATTCCAATTTTAAAATCAAACTTAAGCATCAAAGAATTTTATAGAGAAAATCAATGTAAGATTTAATTTTAAAGTTAATTTATAAAGAAAAAGACTTTCAATTTAGAAAAAAAAACTTTAGAGATAATTTTACTTTTAACATGTTTTGACTAAACATAATCTGTTGTTTAAAAGTTTTCTAATTTATAAGCATGAATCTTGAAAGCATAAAATCTACCTCAAATATCTATAATTAGGTTTAGCTGTGCTTTTAATTTTAATATGATAGCCAACCTAATTAATTTATTATAATAATTTTCACATAACTTTTAGGTTAATTTTTTTCCTCAATGTCTCCGTGAACTGAATCCATTAGGTTGTTTTAAACTGTTTTTCATATCGGTCTTAACATCATATCATAAAATTTCAAAATAATATCGTTATATATTTAACATAAAAAAGTATTATTATTTTTTAATGCTTAAAATTAATTTTTGAAATCAGTAATACTAATTTTCATAAAAAAAGCAAAGGAAGATATACCATTATTAAAGAATTGAATAATAATAATTAAAGAAGAAGGCAAAAAAGTGGCATTGGATTAGGAAAATGTTTAGGAAAAGTGGAATGGTGTTAATTTGGGAAAATGGGGATATGGATTAGTGTTGTAGAAGTAAACAATGTTTATCATTGTAATTGTAATTAATAAAATAATTAGAGATATTGATACGTAATTTGGTTTGGGAGTAGTTGATTAGAACCAAATGGAAGAGCCCAGAGAGAGAGAGAGACACCGTCTCCATCCAAAACCATTGGCTTTAATACTTTCCTCTCTCATGCGCCCACAGTCAGAACCACAAAACCGGAAACCAGTCTCCGGTTTTGCTCCAAAACCGCTTTCCATCCAATTCCCGAAAACCAGGAGCTTTTCCCATTTCTATGTTTTTTAATTTTTCATTCCAAAACCGCTATGCGCAGAGAGACAGTGGATCCTTATTCCACAATATGTGGCGATTCGACCGCACTCTGTCACCTGACCGTGCCCGCCACGCGCCTCATTCTTCCTTCCTCAATTTTTGTACCCATTTGCATGTTCCACCCACCATCACTCTTTTCCTTTTCTCAGTGGCAGATTCCGTAATAAAGCCAACAAATTCTAGATGGGCTTTGGAGGGGTGCCCACGTCAGCTACGTCCCAATGACAAAGGGATGAGTGTCCCTATGATTGGGAGTTGATCCCACGCGCCTCATGTGAAAGTGGACTTTGATTAACAAAAGTGGCTGTTTACTTCCTCGAACCTCAACCTCCTTGAATGTGGAAACCGCGGTTTATGTCTGTGTGTTGTTATTATAGTACTAGTACTATAAAACAATTCTTCAGAAACAGCTGCGTTCCCCACAACCCAGTACCTGAAAATTGAAAATTGAAAACTCCACTCTCTCTCTCCCCCAACAAATATATACCCTTCTTACCCACAATTCTATGATCACACTCTTCTTCTCTCGCTCCCTTTTCGAATCGCCATCAAGTTCTCCTCTCTCTTCTGTTCTCAATTGGGTTTTCAACAATTCGTCACAAAAATGCGCATGAGTTGCAATGGATGCCGGGTGCTGAGAAAAGGTTGCAGCGAGAATTGCAGCATCAGACCCTGTTTGCAGTGGATCAAGAGCCCTGAATCCCAAGCCAATGCTACCGTTTTCCTTGCCAAGTTCTATGGTCGTGCCGGCCTCATGAACCTCGTCAACGCAGGCCCAGAGCATCTTCGACCAGGTTTTCCATCGTTTTCCCTTCCCCTTTTCTCGGGAACCAAACAGAAAAGAATAAAGTTACTAACGTTTAGTTTTGCTTTTTCTACTTGCAGCGATTTTTCGTTCGTTGTTGTACGAGGCATGCGGTCGGATAGTGAACCCGATTTACGGGTCCGTTGGTCTGTTATGGTCGGGGAGTTGGCAGCTCTGTCAAGCCGCCGTGGAAGCTGTCTTAAAAGGAGCGCCAATTACGCCGATCACTTCCGAAGCCGCCGCTAACGGGCGGGGCCCACCTCTCAAGGCCTACGACATACGCCACGTGTCTAAAGACGAGAACTCGGCCGCGTCAAACGAAACCCAGCAGCGAGTCAAGACTCGTTCCCGCGTTAAGCGACCCCTCCCCAAGCCAAAACCCACCAACGAAAACACCACCAACAATGATACTACTACTACTACTACTACTACTACTAAGGGAACCGAATTGGGTTCGGGAGAACCGGGTTCTGCACGCGAGCCGGAGCAGTGGACCGAGGGGCTGAACCGGTGTGGGAGTCACGAGTCGTCGCTTAGCCACCAATCGGAGGCGGCGAATGAGAGCAAAGAGAGCGAGAGCATGGTGTCGGTGGAGACGGCGGAGACTTCGATCCTCTTTCGAGATGAACCGGAGTCTAACCCGAAGCGGGTTGATCGAACCGAAGAGGGTGGTGATCACGTGGGTCTGGAGCTAACGCTTGGGTTTGAACCGGCCTCGCTTGTGGTTCCTGTGAAGAAGAGAAGGATTGAGTTGAAGGATTGTAGTGGGTCGTGCAAGATGGAACTTGGCCTTGAATACACGCCTTGAGGGACTCTTTCTCGCCTCAATTTTGACTCTTTCGGCTTTCTCTGTTTTCTTTTGTACAAGAGATCAGAATGTTACTTTTTACCTTTTTTATTTTCGTATTTTGGGTTATTAACCCCCTCTTTCTTTGTCGGTTGTGAATGCGGTGCTGTACAAACTACAGACATGAATGGTAGCTCCATCAAAAAATAACATTTCATCTTTGTTGGCATGTGCTTCTCAATTTCAAAATTACTGGTTGGCATTAAGCTTTTGAGTACTCACCTCAGAATGATAAAATAACAATATGGACATAATGGAAATGTAATATTATGGAATATTCATTACAGTAATTGGAATTTTGAAAAGAGAAGTAGTAAATTTTGGTAAAATTATGAAAGAAAGGGTGCTCACATATATAGTGGTTTTCGAGAAGATGAAGTGCATGTTTTTGAAAAGGATTTTAAGAACAATTATTTTTGGTAAAGAAGTTTATCAACATGAGATGCTACAATAAAGGGAGTGGAAATGAATAATGGACGAGAAACATGCTTGTTTTAAATTTAGAGGATCTTGAAACATGATGGTAAAAGGTTGCTTCTCCGACAGGGTGTATGCGTGTCTTAGATGTGGGGACTGAGTTTTGAAGAGCGAGGACTTTGGGGGTTTTCCTTTGCCTCTTGCAGAGGTAGAGGAGTCGTACGAGGGACTTGGACTCTGTTGTGTTGTCAGCTCCAACCTTCTTTGTCAATCTCTATTATGTGGCTCTGTTTCTCTCACAGTTTTTAATAATGTGTGAAGCAGTGTGTTATTACTGTTTTTTCCTTCTTCTTTGGTGCAAAGCATTTCTTAGCCCATTACTTCTTTCATTATTGGGCTTGGCTCAGCATAAAAGTTATATTGGGCTGGATAACCCGAAACAGTACTGGTGTCATGGTGGAAAATAAGAGACAAGTATCTGAAAATAAAGGATTGGTTTAGCATTTTTTAATTGTAGACTCAAAAAAAAAAAAACCAACCAGGCCATTCCGAGGTGAACGAGATGAGAATATTTGTTTTGAAGAACAAAAAGGGCCCTAATTAGGAAGACATAATAACAATGAGCCCAAAGAACCAAGCGGGCCAGTCCTCTGTGGATTAGGCCATGTTAGCTATGGTTGTTAGGGTAAGCTCTCTCATTGAAGTTGCAAACCATGTTCATGTTCATAAACCAAAATCAAGACACAAGGTTGGTTGACATGGTGGCACATCCTTTGGGCTTTTTTATTAATGTAGTATGTTATGGTCATTGTAATTTTAATATTAGTCCCTTTCACATCCTTCACTAGTCACTACTCTCCCTCTCCCTCTCCCTCTCCCTCTCCCTCTCCCTTCCTTTTATATTTCGGAATCTCTACATTTTGTGCTTACACTCACACAAGCACAAAAAGAGAGATTAATTTACATTACTACAAATTCAAAATGGTTTATTTATTAAATATTTATATGATGTTTATTTAACTAGTTATATATTTAAATGATACTTTTTTATTTATTAATAACAATTTATTCAATTAACATTAAATATAATGAGATATTAATTTGTTAATCGCTTGTAAAATAATATTTTATTAATCAAATTTAAATTTTTTAAAATATTTTTCATTTATATTTTACCCATACATTATTTAAAATATCTGTAAAATGTAAAAAATATTTAAGAAATAGTTATAAAAATAACTATTAGAAAGAGGAAGATACATAATAACATATTTGAGAAAACTTCATTATAGAATAAAAAACATTATTTTGAAAAAAAATCTCTTAAGATGCTATGAAAAAACACATTTTAAAAACAAGTGAGTTCAAAATCACACTAACGAGAGATGGTAAAAACAAAAAGAAAGATCTATTTGGGTTGGCGATATGACTTGTCTGCTATTGTACATGACATTTTAACTTCAAACAACTATTAAAAAGAACTATAAAAAGGATTCCCATTAACGGTTCTTATAAATAACTCAACTTTAATTCATGAAAATGGTTGAAAAGAAAAGAAAATGTGGGCAAGTGACAAGGTGCAGAAAGAAAAGTTCTTATCCTTACGAATAAGGTAGTGTTAAAGAAAATGGTGTCACTTGATTGACAACACACTTGTTCCATTTGGTACAGAGAGAAAGTACAATCTTGGGTACTGTGTTAAGACAAATTCCATAGACCCCATCTTGTAATAGAATGAATCTCTTAGGCAAACATGCTCCAAGTCTTCCCCTCATCTTCTACAGTGAAGTGCTCATCCACTTTGGCCACTTTATGGTGCCAATCACTGTTCACAAAGTATCACAATTTCTTGTTTGTCTCATCATAATGTAAATGTAAAACCATTTTTCTATTTTATCCATAGAGGGATATATATATTGGAGTGGTCACTACTACTAGCACGTTCTTGGCTTTGTAAGTGCCTTGTCAATTCAATGCAAATTTATCAAATAACTCATCAAAGACCATTGCCTTACCATCCTTTCTCACCCGTCACTTCTCCAATCTCAGTGCTCCAACTTGCCTCCTTCATCAATGCAAGTTTCAGAGGTTTTATGTTGGACGGTTTACCTCCTAATATTGTTTTATTTTGTTCATATAAATAAATGATGCATTATTTTTTTAGAACTACACTCGAAGTGTATATTTGTTTATTTTACGTTTATTATAATGCATAATTTTTTTAAGTACACAAATCCCTGATATAGTATAATTTTGTTTTACTTTAATATATTGACTAGCTATAGATTCTCACAATGCAGGATGTTAATTCTTTCATGATCAATGATAAAAATGAAGTTATAAAGTTATTTATTTTTTAAAAAAACCTTTTGAAATTCAAAATATAGGTAATATATGTTTAACTATTATTTTTTTATTTTATTTTTTGCCTTTGTTCAATTTCGATAAATCAAAAGAAAAATAAAAATAAAACAACGAGAGAGTCACTGAGTTAACAAAAATTTTTTTTTTTGAAAAAAAGGTCAATTAAGAAAAACCTTATAACTTCGGCAAAAATACAAAATGCAAGTTTGATTATAGTTATTGCTTTCGAGTATAAATAGACAATTCATTTCACAAATTTTATAATCAACGGTCAATATTCATTATCTTTTTTAGTGGAATTAATTAATAAAAAACCCTACTAATTTCCGATTTTTACTTATTATATAAAGTATCATATCTTTATTAAACCTTACACAACTAAATTCCTTCATATTTTATAAAATTTTATTAATATAATAAAAAAATTTATAACTGTTAATTACTTAAATAGTAGAAATTTAAATAACATCAGAATAATAAAAGAGAATATATATAATAAAATGTTGTTTGTATATTTTTAAAATAATGAGAAGCACTTTTGAAAGTACAGTAATAAAAGTTTAATCATATAAATTGAGAAAACATACTAAAAAAATGTATAAAAAATAATTTACTAAGACTGATTCGATCTCAGAAATTTATTCATATAAATTGAATTCCTGAGAATGCATAAAAGTATTATGAAAGTAACAAATATAAATTTATTTTCATAAACTAGTAATTGATAAGTTCGTTCCAAAAAAGAATCCATAAACTGGTGCTATTATTTCCAATAACATGCTTGCACCCTCCAACAGTACCATAACCAAGGTTAATTGTAAAGCTTTTTTAGAAAATGTTAATTGGTAAACAAATCGCTTAAAATCCGATATGATAAGGGTAAGTGATCGATTATTATGGAATGCACAGTTTATTATGTTTTTTTATCCCACACAATGGAGAAAATTGGCTTGCAGTTGTTGCAGACTGTTGTAGATGTTAATAATTTTTGCTGATTCTACTGCCTTCCAATAGTTTCCTCACTCTTTTTAATATGCTTTGTTAGTACTTATTTATTACCCTAAAATTGAAAACCTCACCTACTCTATCGTTTTATGCAATTACATTCATAAAAATAATATACAAGTTATTATTTACGTGAAAATTCTTAAGCATAACTCCTATGGAGCTTTTGCACAAGAAATTGAGAGTCAAAAAGATGAATGGTGATACCAATAAAGTCTGGGAAGATCACTAAATTTCTCCCATATTGATTGAAACGAGATTCACTTGGAGATTTTGCATAGACCCTGAGAGTCAAAAGAGTTTTTAGTGAAAACACTAGCAAATTTGGGATAGATAATTAAAATTCTCAAATATATTAATTGAAATTCAATTTTAAGTTATGTATGTTAAAAAGAAAAAATGCTTCCTTCGAAGATATTATAAATGTAAATATATATACTCTCATGTTATACTCACCATATCTTCAGTAGTATGATAGGATACTATTAATTAATTGGTCGACCTCAACATGATTTATATTTATATTATTTTTAAAGATTTTTTATAAACAAAATATAAAAAATGAATAAAACTTTTTTTACATGTTAGAAACAATTTATTTAAGAGTAAACATCTCTTTTAATTGTTTAAGTTACCTTTTTTTCATTTGAACTACAAGTATACTCTTTTAAAAATAATTATATTTCGATGAAATGAAACTATTATAAATAATAAAATTTTTCTTTTAAATATTTAATACAATTGCATTTATTTATGAGTACTTGTAATTATAATATTTGCTTTAATTACTAAAATTAAAATTTTAAGTTTTTTAACTTTTAAATAATATTTTTAGTTCAATTTATGAGAAATAGCTATCAATATTAAAAATATAAAAAACAAAAATTCTTTTTAAAGATGTGTTAATTTTCAAAGAAAATTTTATACTTTTATATCAGGTTTGTGTTAATAAAGTACCTACTATTCATGTATAAAAAATCATATATTTATTCATTTAATATAAATATTATTACACCAAATTAACTATTTAATATTAGAAATATTTCTAAATTAGAGTTTAAATTTATAACAAATAACCATTTTTTTTATCAAATATTATAAATTAAATATTTATTTATTTCGTATAAATAATATCATGATTGTAATCACAGTAGAATTATAATGGCACACGTTAACGTTATGTTAGTGTAAGGATAATTAAAGAAAAGGTTATCTTCATCCATTGGGGAATGGGGATTTCTGAATTTTGGTTTAGTGTCAAGACTCTATCCCTAAGTCGGACCACCACAAGTGTAGAGTGTGAACAATAACGTAAGAACCTTTGAAGATACTTGGTAGACATCCTAAGAGTGTCTATAAACAGAGAGAAAGAATGATTAAT